AGTTATATATAACTCTATGAGAATCACTCACTATCCTTGATTGGCCCCCCGTCATGCACCACTGACAAGAGGAAAGTACAGGGGAAACCACTCTGGAAAATTCCGATAAATTTTCTCGACCAACACCAGGGCCCGGTTCCTAGACTTAAATGCAAAGTCTACTTAAATCTAAGCACAAGAACGTGCTTAAGAATTTTCTAGGAATCGGGCCCAGGATCGAACCCAAGATGTTCCAACAAGTTATCCATCACTCGTACTCACTGATCCACCGTGGATCACCATATAGGCATCAGAAGATGATACGTTGCGTTATAGTACATAAATTAAGATACAACGTTGTTCTAAAAATAATATACATCAATCTCAACACTCCCTTGGTAATCCGCCTTCAAGGAAGTGGGTTTCACAATTATAAAAATTGTTCTGGAAATCGGTTTACGTTTTGTTTTGACACGCTAATATGGGGCGCCGTTTGTAAAATAATTATTTAATTTTTTTTACAGCAAAAAACATTAGATTTAGCTCCGAATATATATATATTTTGATAAATATTAGAACAAAAATGGCATATATGTAAATATCAAAAAATATTGTAGCTAAAAGTCGAGTTTTTGGTCTATGAAAAACTTTAAATGTTATATCTTGATTTTTCGTAGGTATAAATGCTAAATATTAAATCACTGAAAAATCTAAAGTTAAATATTTAGCTAAATATATAAACATTTAGCTAAATATATAAACATTTAGCTAAATATATAAACACTTAGCTAAATATATTTATTTAGTTAAATATATAAACATTTAACTAAATATATATATTTAGTTAAATATATAAACAGTTAACTAAATATATAAATATCATGCTAAATATATATGTTTAGCTAAATGTATAAATATTTAACTAAATATATATTTGTGGTCCCGCCAATATTTCTATTATCGTAAGCGACACAAAAAACTGTGCATAAAATGATGACGTGTACCCGACACGTGAGCCTTGGCACAATAGGCCTACTAGCAATTAGAAATGGAAGCTGACCACGAACTTGTAACCCGAAACACGGCCGCGGTACTCCGTGCCGTTCGCACAGATCAAGGCAAGGTGCAGTCAATGGAAAGTTGTACACTACGTCATCGTTTAGTGTGAAGTCGCTTACAACAATAATTATTTTACAAACGGCGTGGTACGGTTGCGCTTTGTAAATTTAACTATATATTTAGCTAAATATATAATTATTTAGCTAAATATATAATTATTTAGCTAAATATATAATTATTTAGCTAAATATATAAATGTTTAACTAAATATATAAATGTTTAACTAAATATTTTAACATTTAACTAAATATATATTTAGCTAAATGTTTAAACATTTAACTAAATATTTAGCTAAATATTTATATATCATCAAATCTCTTGTTTTGGTCTTAATATTCAATGCTTAATGTTAAATATGAAAATAGAGACAAATCAAGAAATATTTATATATATTATGTTAAATATTGAGTTTTTGTTGTATTTTTAGTTTAAATATTAAAAGTGAAAAATTTGCACAAAAGTCGAGATTTAACTATATATATAAATTTAAATTAAATCTATTGTTTTTTGGCTATATAAAAAGCTAAATAATTAATTTACAAACGGCGCCCCATACGCTAAAAGAGAAATATACATAATATACATATTATATATATTGAATAACAGTGGATATTCTATTTGCACACGACCAGTTAACATTAATGTAGAAGAAGGCCTTAACGTTTTGAGTTTTGGAACCCCACCCCGCCTAGTCCAACCTCTCCCAAGAGAAAAAATGTACTCTTCAAAAAAAGTAGGGGATATTCAGGAACAATACAAAACTGCGCAAATGCACTGCTGTTTTTATTAGAGGTAACCAGTGTATGTTAATATTCAGAAACAATACAAAACTGCGTAAATGCTCTGCTGTTTTTATTAGAGGTAACCAGTGTATGTTAATAACAGGCCAATTGCCTACATATGAACATAAACGGTTCATATGGGCGGTTTATCTGACGGCCCCATTTCACTCGCAAAGAGATACACCGTCAAAAGTGAAAATGAACGTTTTTGATTTTTGTCTTAATAATGAGTAATTGCTCCACCAATCCCCAGGCAATCAACAGTTCGTCGTGGCATGCTCCTAATCAACCGTCCAATCACGATTTGAGGCAATCTGACCCACTCCTCTTGCAGTGCCACGACCAATTCTTGCAGTATTGTCGGTTGACGTTGACGTCGACGAACACGTCTCCAGATCAAATTAAACGTAACACACTAAAGCAAAGATATACTAAACAGTAAATATTATGCAAGACCCGATAGGAAAGCAAACATGGATAGATAAACCAGCACGCGGCAGTTTCACCAACCCTTCCTTGAAGTGTCAAATTTGACAATGAACCCCTCCCATGTGTATGGCGCTATTGCGTGTCGCATGTGCAGCTCAGTGGTTCTGTTGGGGCGATAAGTTCTTCATCTGTGAACATACTCTCAAAGCATGTCAAGTGTCCATGACTATTTTTCATACCACAACCTGCATAGGTATTTGCATTTCAATATCCCCTACTTTTTTTGAAGAGTATAATTGCGATAGCAGAGGCGGATCCAGAGGGGTGGGGTGGTTGTCCACACAACACTTTTTTTTTATGAGACAAGTGTCACAGTCGTGTGCTTTATCCTTTATCATCAGATGGTGGGAGGGGATGGGGATTCAAAGCGCGAGATAATGATATAGACATATGTGATATCACAATTAATTAATGCTTTGCATCAATGAAATTGAATCACAATGTGATCCTATATAATTCATGTTAAAAATTGACATCAAACGGGGTGTTGGATTTCTCTCTTTAAAAAGCTCAGTGTGTATGTATGCCTACGTAATTTAGAGACGATGATGGCATCATCCATTGTCAACTGTCAAATTTCCGTAAAATGAACCTGGCAAACCCCCATCTGCCCCTGGACAGATGTAGTCGTTTGATCTGAATTGATTCCATTATCTAAAACTGTGGGCAATCACAAGGAGGTATCCTACCGAAATCGAGCGAGCTTGTTAGTATCGTCTGTAGAGGATTCCCAATGTTGTGAAGTTTTCTATTCATCGTATCTTTATAAATACGGACCGGAATTTAACAAATGCTTGGGCTGACACTCTTTTCGGTGATTCAGCAGTTGCTATATTGTAGTGGTACGGATTTAAAATCCATCAAAATCCGCTTGGATATATCAACTATATATCTAGGCAAGGGGAATTTCTGGGATCTGCTGGAGACACTTCTTTGACCTACAGCAGTTCCAGGTCACCCTGGCCTTTTTTCACTACCGTTGCAGACCACCTAGTCCTAGCGGAAGAAGACACTGAAGCGTTATTCCAAAATCGTAGAGATTTCGTCTGTCCAACATGCCTGCTATTGCCTTTAGAGTTATCTACCCGATTTGGTACAGGATGTATGAGGAATAGTGCCAACAAATCGTGATGACTCTGACTGGTGTCTGTTTGTGGAAGATATGGATCTTGTCTGTAATTTGTGGCTAGTTCTGATTCAACTTGCCACATCAAAACAAGCTTTACTTTTATCAGACGATAGAGTACCAAATTCAGCATCAAGTTTCTAGAACCAAATCTCGAACATTCAGAATTAAATATGTCTGTTCTTGTTGAAGCTCTTGTTTGTTCGAAGCTCTTGTTTGTTCCTATCCATCAAACATCTGACTTGTTGGTGATAATCTTACAATATGTAACCTACCGGGTTTCTTTGAAGAACAGCGGCATTTCAGAATATTTGGTAGAGTAAACCTGTTTCCCATGTTTTTATTGTTGTATTCGCATTGAAATCGGGCGTAAAAATGGTGAATTATACTTGGGCGCTAATGTTGCGTCTTGGCCAAATATTTTGCGGATAACATTGAGAAATTGGGTTCAACTTGATACAAACCAGGTCATTTCGAGACTAATATATGGCATATTTTTTATTTTTAAAAATCGATTTTAGAATTTATCCACCAGTTTGTTTCTAAAACAATTGGCTTTACCCTTAACATCCTAGTTTTCTGCACCCACTAAACTAATGAAAACTAACTTCCGCCAAACAGTGTGCTATAAGGTAAATTTTACCTGGACAGCGGCGCTACAGCCTAGGGGCCTTAATAGATAGGATATGAAAAATGAAGTGAAATAGTTCAATAAAGAACCCTATAAGATAGGTGTTTTATGAATTGCCCCAGGTAAATGAAATGAACTGGGGTTTTACGTCCTACTTTTCTGCACCGACTGGGCCAATGAAGACTGGCGTGCGCCATTCAATGTGCTATGATGAAAGAAATTCTGTGACAAACACTCAGCCCAGCTGTAATCAAATAGCTTAAAGATAAGTTTCCAGGCAAGGAAACATACGCCCACAGCAGCTAAATCGTCCAAGCGGTCAACAAGGGTTGTTGCATATTTATTCTTTTGTAAGTAATACAATTTCATATAGATCAGATTATAATTTTTGTTGTTTAAGGGTTAACAAGGTTCTACAAACTGAAACAAGGGCCTTAAATATAATTTAAAACAGATTGGATGATAATTTTTGTCATTCGAAGGTTCACAAAGTAAAACAAAGGCCATAACTCTAGAAATAATTGACGGAAATTGCTGGAATTCAATAGACCTCCGTGTCACAAATTTAAAAGATGAATATAAATTTCATAAATATCCGATGATAACTTTCATCAATCGAGCACTAACAAAGTTGAACAAAGTGAAACAGGGGCCATAACTCGAGAAGTAATTATTTTAAATTGCTGAAATTGTGGACGACGGGCGGACGGCAATATACGTCCACATTTCCATGTGGGCGTATAAAAACGATCTTATAAATAACATAAGCTCCTAGGGCATCGCCAATAGTTATCAAGGACAATAACTTCTGAAGACATTATAAAAATGTTAATGGTAGAATTTAAATTAAAAAAAAAACACTTCAACGACTATATAAAGAAAATACAAGTCATATTTATTTATTGAGAAATAGATAGTATATAAATATCACATTATAGAATAAAGAAAACAGAACATTTTACTATCAAACACACGTTAATAACACACATATATAACAAACCACATACTTGTTTCACTTGCATATTATATTTAATAACAAATTGCTTACTTGCCCTTACTGTTATATTATTAATATATTATTAAAAATAGACAATTTTAATCCTGGAGAACTATATATTAAATATATAAAAAATTGTATCTATCTTCATTGAGTGGCATTTAGCAATTGGCACACGTAATAAACACAAAACCATAATATGGAAACAATTATTATTTTAATTAAAGCGACGTTTCGTTGAGGGTTCTCTCGACATTTTCAAGCTTGGACCCTCAACGAAACGTCGCTTTAATTAAAATAGTAATTGAAAAGCCCAGGGGAAGAACTATCTAAGTCACATTTTTGTCTTTTCGCATAAAAGGCAAAACAGACTTTTGGACGAGAATGTTTGACGCGAACAGAACAACAAGTGGGTTTAATTACAACTTCAAAATGATGTTAATACGAATGATAACTACCAGTACAACAACTGACTTCAACTTTTCAGGCAAATTAAGGTTAAATAAAGGGTACGATGCCACGATGGACTTGTATTTGTTCGGGAGGCCATTTCAGAAGGGCCTTGGTTCGATGCGACTGCGATTGTTTTTACCTGAAATAGATTGTTCCACAGAAAGCTTATACAATTTGCTAACAGATGGCGCCATCAACTGGGGTTCATTGAAAAAGTGACTTAGATCGTTCTTCCGCGGGACTCAATTGTGTTCCATACTATGGTTTTGTGTTTACAAATCTAATTTGTAGTTTTCCGTCTGCAAGAACAATTGTTATTAGTACATTTAAAAACCTCATAAAACAGCCCTGTTTGTTAAAACAAATCACTCTTTCAACGCTAAATATTTATATGATACATGTGAGGACGATGAATCAATTGATATTATGTGGCTTCTATACGTGTTCATTATTCTGTACTGGCCGTACAATTGTATAGTTACATACCGGAGGTCGATCCGTAGCCATGTTTGAAAATTGGGTTTTGAAAAAAAGGCTCTCTTTCAGGCGTGCAAAATGACCGTTGGGTCAGATCTAGTTACGGTCATTTTCCATAGCCCTAGGTCTTGACCGGCATATACTGCCGACGTGGAACCCATGGATTGAACGTTTCCGAATGAATTCTAGTCAAGTCAAGTGCTTCTGAATATGTTACTAACTTGATCAATTGAATTTTATTTTATATCACTATTCTACTGAACAGCCCCCATCTGGTTCGGGACTGGCAGAACTGTCAATTCCGTGACACACGATTGTAACTCTGCCAATTTCGAACCTTTTAGGGCCGTTTTCAATGTAGCATTTCAGCGCGCGTTTTCGTCTTTTATATGGAAACTATTCCAGAGGTCTCATTAAAGGGCGAGTTGAACTCCATGGAAACGGTCCCATTACATTAGCATTAGACCGACTTTTATGCCGGAGGAAACACGTATATAAAACGGGCTTTAGACAGAACATCAAACGAGTACTCCTATGAATTTCTTTCAGCATACATGTAAGATAGGGTGCATCTCCCAATAAATATTTTTGCTACTAATATATACTTTTGTTACTACTTATATAAAAACTAAACTAAGAGGATTTTTAGTATATGCTGTTGCAATTTCGCTAAAACCCAATCTGATTAAAACGCAGATCCTATTTCGTTTCGTTTTTTTATAGTTCAAAATTTCATTTTACTTGTCTTTACTACACTGGATCAAAAATATAAAAAAACGAAACGAAATATAGATCTGTATTTTAATCAGATTGGCTAAAACATAAACACACGTGAGGCTGTAAACAATTTCACTCTATCTGGTGCAAACATCATAAATAACAACTGAAAATTATAAAAAGACCAAAAATGAAAATCTTGAAAACTATTGAAGAAGAAGAGGAAGAAAAAAAAGACATAAAAAGGAAGATAAATGGCTATGGCTATCTAATTTTGACTAGATATTTTTTTTTAATTTAAAAATCAAAACTGCTAATAAAATATAGATGTCTTTAAAAAAATTGCAAATTGCATATAATATATTAGGCAAGACATTTTACATCAGGTTTATAAATATTTTGTGCAAAAGATTAGACATTATATATATATATATTTATATTTTTTTAAAAATAAAAATCATAAAATAGTTATTTTTTATCTAAAAACTGATAAAATACAGTCTAGCAGTTGAATATAACATCCTAAAATTACCCATGTACAAGTGGATTCTATGAATTTATTGTTTAAGCCACATTTAGTAACTGACTCAGAATAACACATTTCGTAACAATATACCTGGTAGTGTAATTATTTCATTATGATATAGCAGGTGAATAATGTTTTCATTATGATATATCTGGGGGTATAATTATTTCATTATGATATATCTTGGTGAATAATTATTTTATTACGATATATCTGGGCGAATAATTATTTTTTTTATGATATATCTGGGTGAAGAATTATCTGATTACGATATATCTGGGAGTATAATTATCTGATGATATATCTGGGTGAATAATTATTTTATTATGATATATCTGGGTGAATAATTATTTTTATTACAATATATCTGGGCAAATAATTATTTTATTGTGATATATCTTGATGAATAATTATTTCATTATGATATATCTGGGCGAATAATTATTTTATTACGATATATCTGGGCAAATAATTATTTTATTACAATATATCTAGGCATATAAATAAAGTGTTAGAAAGATAACTGAATATTAAACGGTGTTATGTCATTCATTTGTGCATATACATTAGTTATTAAAATATATGTGAAATACAAAAGTGGTTGATTTTTTTTAAAAAAATAATGCAGGATTTGCGGGGTTTTGTTTTACACATTAAACCCAAGCTTTCAATTATTTTAGGTGTTCTATACTGACTTACTGAGTATTCGATAGACCCCCCCCCCTCAACCTTTATATATCAAAATCTGTGACCGAAACAATGTACTATTAACTTGTTTAAATAACACTTTTAAAAATATATAAAAGGCACAATATTTTTGTTTATGTAAACAGCTACTAGACCATAACAAATAAAAAGTGTATCATTTTCCCAGAGAACACAGAAAATGGAATAAAACAAGAAAAATGACAACTGTCTAGTTGTTTGGATGGGTTGTAAAAACCAAGGTCGCATGCACATAAAAGATCCCTTGGCAGTTGGAATTCAATATAAGAGTAGCCATAGAGCCACTGCCTGGGCAAAATTTCCCTCATGGCACACTGTATGGCGTATGCCCCTGTTCATTAGCCCAGTCAGAGCAGGAAAGTAGGAAGTTAAATCACAATTTCATCTCATTTCTTGTAAAGTGGTTCATAATACTTTTGACAAACAGGGTACCTGATACAAATATACTGTAATAATAATAATAAAAAAATAATGCCCTTTCTGTGGTGTCTAAACAGGAATGCATATAATGATGATGAATACATTGGCTGATCATTGAGATCCACTTTTAACAGACCCACACTTGCAAACATACAGCAGAAAGTCACAATATTGACAGCCTGGTAACTCAAGAGTTTATTGAAGATATAGACTTGTACAACCAGTAGCATCTCACAACCTGATTCTATTATTACAGATATCATCATAGATCTGTGGTGTTATTTGTTCATATTGACCTAGTTTACTGTTCATATAAAACACAGGATCTTTAATCAGTTTTGGATTAAAGCCATCTTTTTTTAAATCCGTTTTCTTTAACTTAAAGGTACCTGCAAGAAAAAATGTATTAAGCATTTAAAAGTGTGTCTGTGAGAGCTCTATGCAAGAAGTGATAACCCTTGGTTCGTGGATTTGGACCAAATTTTTCAATTAAGCATTTAATCCGTCAGTAGAATGGAGTCCGTGACTCATTGACATTTTTCTTCAATGAGAGAAAGGAGACGTTTCAGTGTCAAGGGACCTATTATGTGATTCCAATGTGGAACTAGGTCATTTCGGGACTAACACATGGTTCAATTTTATTTCTATAATTCGCTTGTGCGTAGGGGTCTTTAGCAGTGGGAGGAAACCGGAGGACCAGGAAAAAACCCACTAGGTTATACAGGCGACCCTACTCCTTGTCACGTACAACCGGGGATTAAAAAAAACGGCAGTTGACGCAATGACAGACTTTATGACACAGCATGCACATGCAAACCATTCGGTCATCCAACCCCCCCTGCACGCCTTGGAGAACAATGGCAAGAGTCCATAAAAAGAATTAATACAATAAATACAATTCTTTCTTTTGAAACTTGTGATGCAATACTGGGTAATTGAAAATTAATAATTGCTTCTAAAATCTACATTATATTTTTAGATTTTACAAAAATCGAGAAATTGCATACTGCCGCCAGCCCTGGATATCATACACACAACTTTGGTAGCAATTAATAGAGATACAGTATGGGAGATTAGATAAAGAGCTGGCAGTTCTCACTATGATAGTTAAAAACTAGATGATGTAAAGGGAATACGCTGAAAATTTCAGTCAAATTGATCCACTCTAAGCCGAGAAAAACCTATTTTTAAATCTTCGTAGTCTCAATTGTCATTGTTTGCGCTGGCATGAAAAGTAGCAAAGTCTTGATTATCCCATTTTTTCGTTGAACAGCTGATCGGATTCAAATCCATTGAAAATCGGACAGATAAGATGGCATCGAGAGTTGATTATGGTCTTTTCATGTTAATAAATGCCTAATTAATAGTTTAGATAACATTTCAGGCCTAAAGAAAGACCTGCAATAGGCAGATTTACCTCCTGAATAATGTATTTTTAAGCATATATATATATATAGAGAGAGAGAAATGGGGTTTAACGTCCACTCGACACAAACTATGTCATTTCGGGACTAACACATGGTTTAATTTTATTTGAATAATTCGCTTGCGCGTAGGTGTCTTTAGCAGTGGGAGGAAACCGGAGGACCCGCAGAAAACCCACGAGGTTGGACAAGCGACCCTACTACTTGTCACGTACAACCGGGGATTCGAAACCACGCTTAAGCATCTAGTTTACAGCACAGATGATAAATGATAATATATATTAAATTACCTGTTGTTTCTACAGTTTTAGTTATTCTAATGAAAATAGGTCTAGCATAAGGTGGTAGAGATTTTTGAAAGGCATTATATAAACCTTTAAGATCAACTGTATTATTTTCATCAACAATGGCTGCCATTCCTGCTTTACCTTCATTACCTGAAGATCATAAGAAAATATAGGTTTGAAATATTAATAATAAAATATTTGTTTGAAAAAATGTTAATAAAATATTTGTTTGAAAAATATATTAATAATAAAATATTGGTTTGCAATATTATTAATAAAATATTGGTTTGCAATATTAATAATAAAATATTGGTTTGCAATATTAATAATAAAATATTGGTTTGAAAAATATATTAATAATAAAATATTGGTGTGAAAAAATATTAATAATAAAATATTGGTTTGAAAAAAAAAATAATAATAAATTATTGGTTTTCAATATTAATAATAATAAAAATATTTAAAAAGTCTTAATTTAACACTAGCAGAATCAAGTAATTTGACTGAATTTTCAAACATTTTCGATCTTTATCTAAATCTTACATAATGCATCATTAATAAAAATTATTAACAACTTATTACTAAAAACTTTATTTAGATTACTAAAAGACTTTAATTAGATTATCATAAAATCTGATCTAACTGAGATTAAAAGGTTCATATACCTGGGATTTCTACACCATAACATGTAGCATCTTGTAATTTAAGAATTTTATGTATAATGCCTTCTACTTCCGAAGTAGAAACATTTTCTCCTCTCCATCTAAAAGTATCGCCAGTTCTATCACGGAAATACATATATCCTAATTCATCCATCACCAGTATATCACCTTTAATAACAAATAAAGTATCTTCAATACAATATTTTTAATTTGACACTAAAACAAGATATTTTTAGAGCAGGAACTACCCTGAGATTGTTTCACTATATACATATAATGTGTATTTCTGGGATTACTATTGCTGTGTATCCCTATTGCTGTGTATCCCTATAATTTTCACTATCTGGTGTATTTGCAGGAACGACCCCAAGATTTGTTCACAATCTAGTGTGTATTGCATGAACTAGCCTGAGTGAGTATTACATGAAATACCATAGATTTTTTCCCTACAGTGAATTCAAAGTGGGAGTAAGTCGGCAATGACATATTCTATGATCTTTGCAATCCAGACAATTAGTACAGTTAATTCAATATGTTGACCATCTGGTTGAATATGACCAATGTATAAAATCTATGCATTTTAGGCACTGGTTCACATCCCTGTTCTTGCTCAGTTTAGTAAAAATAGCCCGAAAAGTACTGAAAAATACCAAAAAAGAAATTATGTGTAATTAATGTTATTTTTTCGGTATTTATTGATTTTCGGTATTTAGGATTTTTCAGATTTATTCGGTAACTAGTATCAAAGCAATTTGTTGGTTATTTTTCAGAGTTTTTTCTGTACTTTTCAGAGTTTTTCGGTATATAGTACAGTGTTTCACAACAGTTAAAACTCTTTACTATAAAAGATCTTGGCATACCTGTTAGAAAACCGGTATCTCCTTTTCTATAAACGTCTGAAACTATTTTCTTCTTGGATGCTGCTTTGTTAGCATAACCATCGAATTCTCTAAGGGGATTACCTTTAACAATCTTTCCTACTAATTCTCCAGGTTCTCCTACAAATCATAATATCTCATTTCATCATTTCTAGATCAGTTAATCATGGTTTCAATTTTAAATTTTTGAATTCAAATTCTGTTCAGAATTTTAGCAACCTCCTAAACATTTGTTCAACTGTCAAAAACTAGGGACTAAATCTTATGAAATTGTATAGCCATTTGTTGCAAATCTATTTCGATTGAAAATGGTTCAAATATTATCCACCGTGACATATCATTTATGTCTCCGTCAGCAAAAGGCGTGAACCACACAATCTCACTTTAGCCTGATGAGTTCGAACCGAACGAACTGGGAAGGCTACTCACCACTCATAGATTTCTAATTTTAGGTTATTTTGGGACAAACTAGATCATTTTGTGGCTAATATGTTATAATTTTAGGCTGCCCAGAAGTATTAAACAATACAAACCTGGTTTAGCAAATATACACATTCCATTTCTATCTCGGAGTGGTTCGCCCGTATCTTCATCTACTCGTATTAATGTAACAGGATAAAGAACGGGTACAATTCTTGTTAAAAATCCTACAGCTCCAACTGTATTATCAAAATTCACTGAAATAATAAAATAAATGTTTCTCACATTAATTGAAGTATTTTTTAATATATTTTATGCAAAATATAAATATCAGAAGATGTATGTTTTTATTATATGACATGAAAAAAATGAGAAAAGTCCTTCTGCCAGGTATATCGAGTAGCCCAGTTCGGCAAAACATGATTTGACATTCTTTTTTAAAACTTTTACTTTGTCAACACTATTGAGCAGTTGATCTTCAAGTTTGAGAGAAGTTGTTAAAGATCCATATTGTACATGTGAAATAGATATAATATTGTTGGATTTATTTCACTTTAAATAGTGTACTTATTTTTGTTCGGACCAACTGATATATGCCAACCAATTCCACTGATCAATTTTTGAAACAACCAACTAAGTTTTGAAATATTAAATAGGATATTCCTGTTTCACGACCATGAGCTTTTCAACTCCCCAAAATGTGTTCGCAACATATGGGGGAATAATGCTGTGATTTAGGATAGAAATATTCCACCTTATGCTAATTTCACCATCTTTCTTTAAATTCTTTTAAGATCTCTGTCCTTTGGCACTCACAAGCTTTGTATAACAAATTATGAATGGAAAAAATATGATATAAGAGTAGGCCATAGCACACTGTAGTATGTTGGAGACTAAAGGGAGATAATTCCATTTCCATAAATCCCTCTAGCTAAATGTTAGGTTCTAAACTGGGCTAACCATTCGGCCATCCAAACCCCCTTATTTAAGATCAAAATCACACTTATTACGATAACTAACCTATACTACAATTGCCTTCTGTAGCACCATAGAATTCTCCCATACTTGCCACACCAAATCTCTGTTGAAACTCGGACCATATCTGTGGTCTTAAACCATTACCATACATAACTCTTACTTTATGTTGATTATCTGTTGGCCTGGGTGGCTGAGCCAATAAGTAACGACAGATTTCACCAATATACTGAGCTATCTAAACACAAAATAACAATAATTTTAAATCTAGGCTGATCTGTGCTAATATACATATTATGTAACCATCATTTACTCAATGCTAACTTCGTTGTTTTTAGAAATGAAATGAAATGGGATTTAACGTCCTACTGTTTTGCTCTTACCGGGCTAATGAAGACGGCGTTGTTTTTAGAAGAAAACATATAGTGTGCAGATGACACAAGGCCAGATTTAATAGAATTCAAATCAGGAATCCAGATCAAATAAGCACAATGTTGACCAATGTCGTGCTCTTGACGGTAATTGATAATCGAGGATCGAGTTTCTAAAAACATTACAGCTGTCTTTAATTGAGGGAATATTGAAAAATATGAGGGAAATTTTGTCCAGACAGCAATTGAATTATAACTGCCAAAGGTTCTTTTACGTACATGCCAATGTGTACACAGAACCTTGGGGTTTTTTTTCATGTCATACGAAGGACTAAACACTGCTCCTTGCTAGACCTCCGTCCTGCTCACTCATTAATAAAATCAATGATGTCCGGATTGAATTTCCCTCATAGCACACTGTATGGTGTATGCCCGTCTCCATTAGCCCAGTTGGTGCAGAATAGTAGGAGACTAGGAGGATGTTAAATTCTGTTTCATTTCTAAGTAACAAAGAGAATTTTACTTACTGTACAATTATATTTTATACAATCAGTCCAGAACTGACTAGCAGAAAACTTTCTTCTGATGACCACAGTAGTACCACCTAGAATAGCCTGTCCAATACCTAAGATACCTCCCGCTGTATGATATAAAGGTAAGGTATCATATAATATATCTTTACTTGTTATATGATGGAAGAACTGGATAGCTAGAGCCATGTAGAAATACCTATATCAAATATAAATAAATAAAATTAATCATACATTAGACAAGAGCGAAATCTGCCTATTGCAGGTCTTTCTTTAGGCCTTAAATGTTATCTAAATTATTAATTAGACATTAATTAACCTATCCAGACCATAATCAACTCTATATGGCATCGCTAGCCTGCGATCTTTAGTGGATTGTGAGCCGATTTACTGCATAACTTTGCTTCACGATTTAACGATTAAATGGATAATCAAGACTATGCTATTTATCGTACTGACTTTAGTAATGATGATCAAGGCTAGGGGGAAATTCAATCGCTTTGTTCTCGGTTCATAGTGGATCAATTTGAATGAAATTTTCAGCAAATTGCCTTTACATTATCTAGTTTTTAACTATTCTAGTTAGCGAATCTCCCATAATGTATCTTTAAACAAAATATTTTCATAAAATAATTGTTGTGCACAAATCATGATACGCTGTTTTTTTTCTTTCTTAGAAGAACTTATCTAACTTTTCAAAGGAGATTACATAGTAATCAAAGTTGCATTATGTAAGATTTAGATAAACAGCTGACCATTCTTGCTATAATATTTCAAAAATAGATGATGAAAAATGAATATATTGAAAATTTCATTCAAATTTCAAATGATCTAAGTGAAGTTATGACTGATTGAAGATGTAGTGTAGATTGTTTATCATAGTAGCAACTGTACTTGACAATCAAGGCTAAGTCTTGGTTATCCATTTCACCGTAAAATTCTTAAATCTTGCGGGGGTTTTAATCCATTTAATTCTCGGCCATCCGAAAATCTAGAGAGTTGATTATGGGCTTAGCATGTAAATAAATGTCTAATTAACGATTTATATAACATTTGAAGCCAAAATAAAGATCTAGATTAGGCAGATTTTACATTTAGCTAGAGGGATTTATGGAATTATCTCCCTTTAGTCTCCAAGATACTACAAACCTTATATATGTACAAGTCCAGAAATAAACTAGGAATGTTGCCATCATGACATGCCAATCAAACTCAAATTAAACTAAGTCATTAAGGGACGAACATTTTTATTTGATTAATTCACTAGCACATAGGGGTCATTAGCAGCAGGAGGAAACCGGAGGATCAAGAAAAGCCCTAAATACAAGTCGGGAAGCGAAACCACGTCATTTGACCAAATGCCATAGGTTATAATCTAAAGCATTCGGCCACATAACCGAAGATAGACTGGTAAGAGAATTGTTAATAATGGAAAATCTGGTTCCTATTACAGGACTAAACCTTGTAAACTCCCAAATAATGAACAGTCTTCGAGGTCTTAGAAAATCCAGTTGGGCTTTCTCTGCCAACATCAGGATTGAACATGGGAAATGAAATGAAATGGGGTTTAACTGTTTTGCTCCGAACTGGGCTAATGAAGACTGGCATACGCCAAACAGTGTGCTATGAGGGAAATTTTGCCCGGACAGCGGCACTATGGCCTACTCTTATATCGACCAACTGCCAAGGGATCTTTAATGTGCACGCCAATGTGTACACGGGACCTCGTTTTTTTGTCCCACCTGAACAACTAGACAGCTTTCCTTGTCAGCCCCTTCGAGCTGCATCACTGACAAGGGAGAACCAAGCCGGAAAATCTGGATGGACTTTCTCAGCCAATGCATGGATCGAACACGTGATCCCCGATTAAACATGGGACCTCCAGGTTAGCAAGCCAACATCTTACTCACTGAGCAACTGTGGCTCCTAATTATATAGGAATTAGATAGACATTTAGTAAAAAGAGATGTTACACAAACCCTACCTGGTATGAGTAACAATGGCGGCTTTAGGTAACCCTGTAGTTCCAGATGTAAAAATGAAGAATAAACAATCTGAAAAAAAACAAAAAAACTTTTGTTGATTTCCTGATGGGAAAACATGTCCATGTATTTTTCACATTTACAAATGTATTTCTTCAAAATCAGGATTTAGTAGAGGCAGTCCCAGATTCCACAGGACATAATTAATAGAATTGGGTTTAAGTACGTAAATCAAACACCAAATTGTGACCATATAGCATGTCTAGATATTCTTAATGGGGTTAAGTAATTCTTTCAAAGAATTTCATTTTTTAATTGTATAAGTTACCTGATAATCTCAATGATCAATTATTATAACTCTATCCAGTATATAGACATGGTTAACCCACCATGTTCACAGCATGGAATGTGGGGACTTATGGTCAAACCTACACGGTAACTGAAAGTTTGTATTTCTTCGAAAAAGTACTATTGAACTTCAAATACATGTAGTTGCACAATACTATTAATCTAGCATAAAGCTTTGCAAATTAACCAGATTTAGTCAGTCAAATATATCTAGGATCTGCTATAGTTTAAAACATTATGGTACTGTTTGGATCCATACTGACCACTGCTCTATACAGAGATATTTAAAGATACATTAGTTAAGAGTTTTATAAAGAGTTGGCCATTCTTGCTATAATAATTCAAAAATAGATGATACTAAAGAAAATGTTGAAAATGTCAGTCAAATTACTTTGTTCTAAACGGAATTGTCACTGTTGGAAGTTTGGACTAGAAATAGGCATCAATTTTGTCTGCACCGTCTATGAGAAATGGTGATCGTTTGATTGACAGACGATAACTCCACGTTAGCTTGGCCCGCCATTTATTGATTTAATTTTAAATGGACAACTGTTAAAATCCAAGCTGTATCCAAGCCATCCAAGGGTCTACAGAGTTGATTTTGAGCTTGTCATGTAAATAAAGGTCTAATTAATAATTTCTATAACATCCAGGAACGTAACTAGGGGTGGGGGGGCACAGCAACCCCTGCAAAAAGATTGCCCCCCTGTGAAAAAATTGTCGACCTTAAAAACAATAGATATACATTGTCCATCAATTTTACAGCACCCCCTGAGAACACGCCCATGATAAGATCTGAAGCCTAAATAAAGACTTGCAATAGGCAGATTTAGCTCTTGCATAATGTATGTTTAAGCAAAATGAGATCCAAATGTACAGTGGCAGCCCAGGCCATGGTCTCATCTAGCTTTAAATATTTAAGTATACAGGTACCACATTGTTTAGAATTGTTTTATATTTTAAGGGGAAGGCAAGGGTCACTAAGTTCATACCTTTAAAATTTTGATCAACTTTCGGTGGCGGATATGTAGATGTTCGTTCTAATGCAACATCTAAATTTATAGGTGTAATATCATTAGTTGTCATGGCACCAGTATGGTATAACTCAATCTTCTTAGGTAATTCTTGAGTCACATCTTTTATAGCTTTAATTAAAAGAAACAATCGTTGTTTATATATTCTAACAATATCAATATGGCATAAAATCTTAAAAGATGTAACTGTATATCATACATAATTTATGTAAAAAACATTAATTTAAACACATTTGCACATATGTGACCTGTCATGGCATGATGGGTCACAATGAGGAAAGTTTGAAAAATGAGTTAATGTTATTTTCAACTCATTACCTTCAATTTGATGTATAGTTTGTTTCAGTGAAAAATAGTATTCAAACACATTTGCACATATGATAAACATGTACAAAACTCTGCATTTGTTGAATGTAGAAAGGATATAATGAAACTGAATTAGAATGAATAAATGAATAATTTTTTATTCAGATCAAGGTGTGTGTACATGTAAGTGAACATACACTTGGAAGTGGCTGAAGGAAGCTCTGCACACAATTATTAACTTAGTCTCTGAAGGCCATATGGCATATTGTTAATCTCTTGAAAACTGTAATAATGATAAAGTTGAATCTCAAGAAGGCATATCCGTTCAAAAATGGTGAGATTCTCAGACATCTTTTGATGGGTCAGTTTTTAATCAGATTACATAGTGATAAGAGTTATGTCCCTTTCTTTTCAGTAAAAATGTCTGACAAGTAAAATTTTGAAATCCCATCACTGGATTGAATCCAAGCCGGGAGATTATCTACCTTGACATTTTGACTTTGTTTTCTAAATCACATGTTAAATAATCAATTTGGATTAAGGTGTGGAAAATTTGATATATTTGCAAAAATGCAAAGAGAGAAAGAGATAGAGGGAAATAGGGTTTAATGTTCACTTGACACAAACTAGGACATTTTGGGACTAACATATGGTTCAATTGTATTTCAATAATTCACATGCGCATAGGGTTCTTAAGTAGTAGCAGGAAACCGGAGAAAACCTACAAGGTTCGACAGACGACCCTTTTCCTCATCACGAACAACTGGGGAATCGAAACCACGTCATTTGACTTAATGACAGACCTTATTATACAATGCGCACACACTAACCATTCGGCCATTCAACCCCGCAAAAATGCAAAGGACACACAGAGCCTTTAAAAGGACAAATGATGCTGTATATACATGTAAATGTTAATGCTATCAACAAACCTTGAGACAGTTCTCCACCAAAGACAACAGCCTTACAATTTGATATTGTAATGGAATGAGCTAAAGCTGTATCTCGCTGATTAAAGTTGATTAATGCTGCAGATACTCCAATCTTTGATAAACCTAACCATAGACAGACAAACTCAGGACGACTCTCCATAAACAAGGCCACCATATCTCCCTTTCTATATCCAGCTTCGTAGAAATAATTGGCTACCCGATTTGATACGTTCTCGACATCTTGAAAAGTCCATACCACATCTTCGTAAATGAAACAAGGCTTTTTGGGGTATTTCTGGACATGTTTACCAAATATCTTGGCTAGTGTATATTTCTGTCTAATGTAATACCGTATTAATACAGTCACCTTAATTAAAAATAACAAACCCCTGTAATAGAAAAGAAATTCATTTCTATATTATGAAAAATACTACCAAATATTATCAAAATAGCATCAAAGGAGGTTTTCCCTATTTGTTTTGGTCTTAAATTATATCATATTTTTAAGTAATTTTTAACGAATCATGATGAAAAAGAGACTATAAGAAAAGTTCAAAGAAAACCAAATCAAATTATATATTTATGACATGTAATTATGACAAAACAGTATTTACATCTGAAATTTCACAAGTTAGTTTATGATGTATCTACATACAAAGTTTAAAATGAATAAGTTGTCAATTAGACAAGGATTTTGAGGTATGGGCTGTATAATTTATCATACTAATTTTTCACCGTTTAAGGGAATTAAGATGCGACTAACAGAACTTTATACACCCATAAACCATGGGAAATTGAAGGGAATAAAAGTTTAAAACCAAAACTGCTTATTAGTATAAATATAGAAGGCACATGTAGGTATATTTGTCACCAGTGATCATTTTTTGAGTTATGTTTGATTATCAATTCAACTGTTCAAGTCCCTGACTATTGCTTTTAACAGACTGGCACTGAAGGGATCTCGGTGATCGAATATAACTTTTGATCCAACAAATTAAATTTAATATATGGCAGGATATTATAATAGTTTTATAAGTATAAGAGACTGTCATAAACATTGAATCCTTATTAATATAATAAAATGGCTACCTGAAATCTCTCGGGAGAGTCTTAATTACAACCAAGGTGAATCTCCAGCCTCCCGTAACCAGGTAAATTGTAAACACCACTGCTATTGTGGGAAGACATGTCACTCCAACGTAAAGAGATAGAAAAATTCCCAAAGCGATAAATGCACCCAATTTGAGTAATGCATTATTTGCCATAATGGCCCGTATGGACTGATTAAATCTACGACAAACTGTGATTTCATTTATTGGTGCAGTTGATCTCGATGTCATTTGGGTCTAAAGTTCAAAGTGTGCCTTTACAACGTACGTGTCGTGAACTTTCTTGGCGTCAGTTGTACTTAACTTGTGACCAATTGGTAGTAAGCGTGCACTGCTGAGTGAAGTTTGTTTTTACAACTTCCGTTAGACTTTGACCGGCTAACATTTATGCACTACATCCACTGCTGTGATCGATATGATTATATCAGTTTGTACTGTAAGCTGTCTGTTGATAATACGCGGCTATTTCTGTTGTTATAATAAGATGTGATAATTATTATCGATTAAGATCCCATTGATTAGGCTAGTTGTGATAAACAAAATATTTTGAGTATCTATGAAAGGGAAATAACTCTGGTGAAACAAGTGCTTGGTTCTTGGTCTTTCAGACGATAAACAAAACAAAAGGCCCAGGGGTTTAAAACCTCGACTGAAATGGGGTTAAACCAGGGACGTAACTAGCTCTGAGCAACAAGGGGGGGCGGGAAATGTTCTCAGGAGATGCTGTAACATTGACGGACAATGTATATCAATTATTTTTATGGTTAACAATTTTTTTCACGGGGGGGGGGGGGGGCAACTTTTTGAAGGTGGGGCTTTGCCCCCCCACCCTAGTTACGGGCCTGGGTTTAACGTCCTATTTTTTGGGTCTACCAGATTATTCATTGAAGAAACCAAGACATTTGTCATTCCAGTCTATGAAAAGAAAAGTTGGGCCACGGTGAGCTAAATGGTTTCGATACATTGAGCGGGGTGCCAAAACCTGGACGTATGGTAACCCTGCTGTCCCTAGTCCTACTGTTTTGCTCCGACTAGGCTAATGACGACAGGCATATATACCATACAATGTGCTATGAGGGAAATTTTGTCCTACTCTTATATCAAATTCTATCTGTAATGGGTAAACGTGCACGCCGATGTGTACACCGGACCTTGGTTTTCCCTCCCTTCAGAACGACTATTCGTTGTCCCTTGTCGAGCGCCCCCCCACCAATCCCCTGTCCTTCACTACTGACAAGGGAACCACATAGGAAATTTCCAATGAATGTTCTCGGCTAATACCAAGATCAAACACGAAATCTCCAGGTTAGCAAGCCAATGTCTTACTCACTGAGTCACTGTGGCTGCTCGACTCAGATTAACATTCTTTTACACAGCATCCAATGAGGTGGTGGGACGGTCATGGCAAGATTTTGTATTGACATCCCAGGTTAAAATTCTTAAAGCAGCAAACCATCCGAGCATAAACCATCCCATGTTCTGAGAGCAGCAAACCATATGATAGTAACCATTTGGGGGTCCATTATTGTGAAGCATTGTGTCCCAGAAATATTTTGCCATTTTAAACTGGTTTTGCTGCTAAAATGTATTGTCGCCCATGCACTGGCAGCACCAAAGCATAAGACCATATACCATCCAGGATAATAAACCAGAAGGTAGTCTATAAAGAGCGCTCACTGTAAACTCCCCCGACACCATTCCCAAGAACGTTTTGCGACAACTCGTAAATCTTCCTATGGAACCAAATATTTACCATTCACTAGACTATAGACGTGGTGAAAGAGAGAGAGAGAAATGGGGTTTAATGTCCACGTGACAGAAACTTGGTCATTTCAATATTTCAATAATTCGCTTGCACGTAGAGTCTTTAGCAGTGGGAGGAAACTGTAGGACTCTGAGAAAACCCACAAGGTTTGACAGATGACTCTACTCCTTATCACATACAACCGGGTAATTGAAACCATGCCAGTTGACTCAATGACAGACCTTATGATACAGCACGTATGTGCTAACCATTCGTGCCCCCCCCCCCGCCCCCAATAGTCATGGTACTATAATATATATATATATTTTCATGGTAGTTTGAATATCGTGGGAGTATTTGCGGCTTCAATATTAAAATCAGGTGTCAGTTTCTTGAAGGTCCTATTCCTATTGTGTTAAGAGTCATGGTGGTTCAGTGAGTAAGATGTTGGCTCGTTAACCTGCGCGGAGGTCCCGGTGTTGGCTGAGAAAGTTCATTGGGAATTTCTGCCTTGGTTCCACCTTGACAGTGGTGCTTGACAGAGTGCTAGGCAAGGGACAATGTATAGTCATTCGGATGAGACCAAAAAAATCGAAGTTTCGTGTACAAGTTGGCGTGCACGTAAAAGAACCCTTGGCAGTTGGAAATGGATGTAAGAGTAGGCTGTAGCGTCTGTGCAAATTTTCCCACATAGCATGGCAGCGTTGGGGTTTATCGCCCTGCATTTTTGCACCGACTGGACTAATGATGAAGGGTATACAGTAGTGTTGCTAATTCAAATTTTTTGTTGGACATTTTTACAGAAAATAAAGGGGCATAACTCTTATTGTTATTTAAGCAGGCAGTTTCAGACTATAATTAAAAATCATGTGTCAGCAAAATATATAAAATAGATGCAACTTGTTATTTTTCATATTTAATTCTTGTACGGTATTCAAATTTATGTCAGTAATATTCCTATAAAATTTTGCTGGGATTCGTACCATAGAAAACATTTTTCCTAAGCACAATGCAAGCAGCATCAGGACTAACAGTAAAGAGAAAGAGAAAGAGAGAGGATTAATGAGGGTTAACATCCACTCGACACAAATGTTTCCTAAGCACAATGCAAGCAGCATCAGGACTAACAGTAAAGAGAGAGAGAGATAATGAGGGTTAATATCCACTCGACACAAACTAGGTCATTTTAGGACTAATATATGGTTCAATTTTATTTCCATAATTCACTTGCATGTAGGGGTCTTTAGCAGTGGGAGGAAACTGGAGGACCTGGAGAAATGCACATGGTTGGACAGGCTACCATACCTCTTGTCACGTACAAGCAAGGGAGAGAGAAGGGGATGGGGTTTAACGTCCACTCGACACAACTAGGTCATTTCGGGACTAACATATGGTTTAATTTTATTTACATAATTCGCTTGCGCGTAGGGGTCTTTAGCAGTGGGAGGAAACCGGAGGACCCGGAGAAAACCCACGAGGTTGGACAGGCGACCCTACTCCTTGCCACATACAACCGGCGATTCGAAACCACGCCGGTCGACTCAATGACAGACTTTATGATACAGCACGCGCACGCTAATCATTCAGCCATCCAACCCCCCGTACAAGCAAGGACCAAAACCAAACCACTTGACTCGATGACAGACCTTATGGTTTCATGCGCCCTCGTTAAACCACAAGACCAACCATACCCCTCCCCCCAATGGCAGTATAATGAAGGAAGTAATATAATACCATATATAAAAGTGGAAATTAAATGTATTGTGTGGCGAGCGTGTGGTCAGATTTACTTGCCAGGCCTGTAGACCTGCTCTCCCCTACATCTCCACCGGCCACCCACGTTATCAGGAATTAACCAACTTTGATTTCATTCCCAATTTTTTTTTGATTTGTTTAGGAGACAGAAATTTCTCTTTATCAAAAAATGTCAATCCGTAACCATTATTCTGATTTTGTTTTCAAAAGATGACAGTTTTTAGTCCAAAACTAAATTACCATTTGTAAATAAACTGACTTATGCTATTTGTATTGAAATGAATATTGAATAGTGTAGTGAGAGCCATGGTGGCTCAGTGAGTATGACATTGGCTCCCTAACCTGAAGGTCCCATGTTCGATCTCTGTGTTTTTCCAGAAAGTTCACTGGGATTTTACCGGTGTGGTTCCTCCTTGTCAGTGGTGTAGGACAGAGGGCCTGGCAAGGGACAAAGCATAGTTATTTGGATGGGATGAAAAACTGAGGCCCCATGGACATATTAGGGTGCACGTAAAAGAATCCTTGACAGTTGGAATTTGAAATAAGAGTAGGCCACAGCACCGCTGTCCAGGCAAAATTTCCCTCATAGCACAATTTCTATGCAAATGCTGTCTTCATTAGCCCAGTAGGAGCAGAACAGTAGGACGTTAAACCCCATTTCATTTCATTTGAATAGTGTAGAACTTGCCTGATGTGTAATTGATATAACATACCAGATCAGCTGAATTAAACATGAATCAAAAAGGTTCTGTTCTTTCAAGTACGATTCAATAGTTTTAGTATACAAACCACTATCGATGGGTATAAAATATGTTTAGTACAATCAAATATAATGATAGGTATAAAATATTATCCAGTACCATAAAATATAGGCATAAAATATTATTCAGCACTATGGAATATAATGATGATAGGCATAAAATAATATCCAGTACCATGAAATATAATAATGATAGGCATAAAATATAATACTGATAGGCATAAAATATTATTCAGTACTATGGAATATAATGATGATAGGCATAAAATATTATTCAGTACTATGGAATATAATAATGATGGGCATTAAATACTATTCAGTACTATGGAATATAATAATGATAAGCATAAAATAATACCCAGTACCATGAAATATAATAATGATAGGCTTAAAATGCCATTCAGTTAAAAGGAATATGATAACGAAAGCCATAAAATAATATTCTGGATCAGGAAATATAATGACGAAAGCCATAAAATAATATTCATTACCGTGAAATATAATGAAAGGCATAAAATAATTTTCAGTACCATGAAATATAATAATGAAAGGCATAAAATATCATTCAATACAATTACAATAGTATCACATGGACCAATAACCGAGCATGACATCATCACTGCCATCTTGGAATTGTGATATCATATCAAAATCGAAGTCCATCAATTGACATGCAAGTGTCATGAGAACAAGCATACCAAGTTTCATATGGATCATACTTGAGTTGAAAGAGTTGTAGGCTTTTTTCAAAGAGAGTAGCCCCCCCCCCCTCCTCCCTCCCACCAAAAACAACAGCAACCAGATGAATAGCGCGAGAGGGGCCCCAGTTTCTGGTCCAATGATAAGCATGAAATGCTATTCAGAATAATAACAAATGTATTTAATAAATTTAAACATACATTATGCAAGAGCTAAATCTGCCTATTGCAGGTCTTTCTTTAGGCCTGAAATGTTATCTAAATTATTAATTAGACATTAATTAACTTATAAAGACCTTAATCAACTTTCGATGTCATCGCTAGCCTATGATATTTACTGGATTAGAATCTGAATTGCTGCTCAACACCTATTGATGATTAAATCAAAAAATGGATAATCGAGACTATGTGTTTTATCGTACCGACTTTAGTAATGATGATCGAGCCTAGGCCTTAAATTTAATCGCTAAATTTTCGGTTCAGAGTGGATCAATTTGACTGAAATTTTCAGCAAATTCCATTTACATTATCTTGTTTTTAACTATTATAGTGAGAACTGCCAGCTCTTTATCTAATCTCCCATAATGTATCTTTAAATATATATCAAGATACAGGAAGCAATAACATGATAGGCTTATTTCATGGTAATAACAAAATTTTATTCTTAATATTATTCAATCTTTTTATTAATTTCCACCATATTCTTGAATATAGCCAGCAAGAGGACCTTTAGGATCAATGTGACAATCTTTACCAACTGCAGTTTTATAAGAACATGTTTTAACGCAGTCATCCCATATTAACCCCGCGGGACATTTGAGAACAAGAGGATCTAACTGATCATTGCATTCTATGAACTTAGTTCTATCTGGTGGAAACGCATAAAAACGTTCCCCATCAATGCTCATGTGAGGACAAGGATTAATCCTAGTGTCACGTGGCTCGCAGGTGAGTTTTGATTCCTGCCAAACAAAATTGGATCCAAGATTTAAACAAGTTCGCACAAATGCGTGACCCCAGGGATCACACTGAATATACAGAGATATACTATCTGGATGAGCAAAATAATATTTTCCAGCTAACAGGTTCTCCTCTGTACACAGGTAGTTAAATGATGAGCTAGAATTATCACAGTTGCTGATGATCCCAGTTCCGATACCATAACAAATCTCACAACTAGCAGAAAATACCTGACCAGCTGGACAATTAACTACATATGCATTGCCACTCAAATCACACAAATAGAATTTTGTGTTATCACCAGGGTACGGAAATTTGGTTTTTCCTGTGGCCAGATTTTCTTTGGTGCAGGGATTGTAGCCAGGCATTTGACCATCTGTTAGTAGAAGAAAAAGAAAAGATACAATTTAAACATTAAACATGTAGGTCTCCTGAATATTTCTTTGGAAGAGAATGAAAGACATGAAATGAAATCAAATGAGCAATGGCATGTAATTTCAGTTTGAGATGAAGCCTGGTAAGACTGGGAAAGTACATTGTACATATCACTAGGTCATTGCGCGTAGGAGTCTTTAGCAGTGAGAGGACCCAGAGAAAACCCATGAGGTTGGACAGGTGACCCTAGTCCTTGTCACGTACAACCGGGAATCGAAACCACGCCAGTTGACTTGATGACAAGCCTTATGATACAGCGTGCACGTGCTAACCATTCGGCCATCCAACACCCCCACCCCTGTTAAAGGGTTACAGTGTGGTGCTCCATGGACTCACATGCGAAACTCTTTGCTTGAAATGATAAATATCTTACTTGGACATAGTTCTTCTTTAGTACAATTTCTCTTCACACCATTTTCTTCACAGTAAATATAAACAGCTAAAACAATTAAAGAAATAAACACACTTATATGGATATACTACTTCTGAATTTATTAACTTGCTACATTTCAATACACATTCAGATATCGTTATCAATTGATAACCAGAAATGCTGGTTAATATACAAAACCAGTACCAGTAGTTGTATATAAAAAAAACAAACAAACAAAACTCCACTTTTTTGTAGTGTGCAAGCTCACAATATTTGCATAAGCAGCAAAAACTTGTATGATGCCCATTTTCCATGTACGCATTTTCGCCGACGAAATAGTCGGTCAAATGCAAATGTAATAGGAATTTTCCATGTAAGCGGCTAAAAGACATACATAGAAAACTAAGTCTAAATCAGATTTAAAAATGATTCTTAGTTATAGCTCACCAATTTTTAACAGAATATGTACATCATGATCAGAGCCAGCGTCTTTCCCACTTAGCCACGTGATCCCCTGTTTTGTTTGGGTGTGCATACATTTACCACTCAGTACTATACTATACCCCATCCCAGATTAAATGGGGAGCCGTGGTGGCTCAGGGAATAAGACATTAGCTCGCTAACCTGGAGATCCTGTGTTCGATCCTGGTGTTAGCCAAGAATGTTCATCACAATTTTCCTGCATAGTTCCCCATGTCAGTGGTGTAGGACGGAGGGGCCCGGTTGTTTGGATGGGACAAATAGACATTGGGGTGCATGTAAAAGACTCCTTGACATTTGGAATTGGTAATAAAGTGGAGGCACTCTGTATGACATATGCCCGTCTTGATAGCTCAGTCAGAGCAGAACAGTAGGACGTTAAATTCCATTTCATTTCATTTTGAATCATATTTTCATAAAATGACAAAGGTTATGATGATATACTGACCATGACTTATTTGACCTTGGTTTGGGGTCAAGGTTACCCAGCATCCATTAGGATAAGTTTTACCATCAATCATTTTATTATCCACTTTAACGTATAGAAACTGTTCTTGTCCAGTATATTCTTGATAGAATTCAGATGTTTTATTATACATTACAGTTGAGTGGATATCATAGGAAGCTTGACTTGGATATTGTTGATATACAGAACTGTATATATTGGTGACACCACAAGTTATATTGGCCTAAAATAAAATAAAAATAAAGGTCATTAATCATAAAACTGTTAGGGTCGAGTCATGTATAGTGTAATGTCCTATAGTTTCTATACTATACAGTGTAATACATATACCAATAGTAACCCATTATTATAACTCATAAATATTCATTAGTTCCACCAATTCCTTATTTGTATAAGTATGTTACTACATACGAACCTACATCAATAAAGCTTATCAGAGTTATAATAGCAGACGTGCCTTTGTCTTATTTTATATAGAAGTTATTACATATAGGATTTTTTTATGAGAATTCCTTTCATGTAAAACGTAAATTTCTCCTATGTTACAGATTGTTTGGCCTACAGAGAGAAATGGGTTTTAACGTCCACTCAACACAAACTAGGTCATTTCGGGACTAGCATGTTTCTATTTTATTTTAATAATTCGCTTGTGCGTTGGGGTTTTTAGCTGTGGGAGGAAACCGGTGGACCCGAAGAAAACCCACGGGACTAGACAGGCGACCCTACTCCTTGTCACGTACAACCGGGGATTCGAAACAACGCCAGTTGACGCAATGACAGACTTTATGATAAAATGTGCAAGCGCCGACCATTCGGCCAATCAACGTTCCGAAGGAAAGATGAAGAACAAAAGAGATTAATATCTCATCAATTTGGTCAATGATGGAATAACAGACTACAAAATACTTACAGTTATAGTTAAACCAAGAGATGATAAACTACAAAATACTTACAATTATAGTTAAACCGACAGATGATAAACTACAAAATACTTACAGTTATAGTTAAACCAAGAGATGATAAACTACAAAATACTTACAGTTATAGTTAAACCGACAGATGATAAACTACAAAATACTTACAATTATAGTTAAACCGACAGATGATAAACTACAAAATACTTACAGTTATAGTTAAACCAAGAGATGATAAACTACAAAATACTTACAGTTATAGTTAAACCGACAGATGATAAACTACAAAATACTTACAATTATAGTTAAACCAAGAGATGATAAACTACAAAATACTTACAGTTATAGATAAACCGACAGATGATAAACTACAAAATACTTACAATTATAGTTAAACCGACAGATGATAAACTACAAAATACTTACAGTTATAGTTAAACCGACAGATGATAAACTACAAAATACTTACAGTTATAGTTAAACCGACAGATGATAAACTACAAAATACTTACAGTTATAGTTAAACCGACAGATGATAAACTACAAAATACTTACAGTTATAGTTAAACCGACAGATGATAAACTACAAAATACTTAGAGTTATGGTTAAACCGACAGATGATAAACTACAAAATACTTACAGTTATAGTTAAACCGACAGATGATAAAGGGAAAGCATATGGTGGACAGTGACCAATTTCACATGTTACAGTTCTATTAGCATATAATGGAGCTGTAATAAAATAACAAATATGTTCAGAAAACACGGACAGTACCCAATATCAAATGTCAGTCATATCAGCATACAGATGTGTTCAGAAAACCCGGACAGTACCCAATTTCAAATGTCAGTCATACCAGCATACAGATGTGTTCAGAAAACATGGACAGTACCCAGTTTCACATGTCAGAGTTCTATAGATCAGGAAATGCGGGTTGGGGGGACATGGGTTCCGGCAGTCTTGGGGTTAGAATGCGTTGTTTAGAATATCAGTATCGGTTTAGAATCGTCAACAGTATTATTGTTGATTCAATTTTATCCATAGGATGAGAAACCCCTCAACATACAGACATTGTCATGAGGTTGCATCCCACAGAATTTCTACGAGGACCTTGCTGAACAGAATCTGATTAAAATACAGATCTATATTTCATTTTATTTTTTTATATTTTCGATGGCCTCTACTACATGAAGATCTGACCAGTCGTAGTGGCAGGTCGCATCAGCTGTCATATGAGCAGCTTTTTGACCCTATGATGTCAGACATTTAATTAACCAATCAGCATTGATGTTTCTAGAAGGATACCCACAGTTCCATGCATAGTACGCCAAGAATGTTTCATTGGCAAATCAGTCACATCAACCAGAACGGGTTATATAACAACTCTTCCAGATCATGGTTTAGTAAAGACAAGTACAATGAAACTTTGAACTATAAAAAATACGAAACGAAATAGGATCCGTGTTTTAATTGTATTTATAGCCTACCTCTACAGACACTATGTTGTATTTCTTCAATCAATGAATTAATAGCCTGGAAGTTCTGCACTGTAAATATATGAACACAAGAAGGGGGCGTGGCAATATATTCAAGTTCTGGCATGTCAAACAACTTCCCAACACCAATACCAAATAGAACAGCACCATAATTTTTCAGCCTATCTGCTGCATGATGGGTATCTATACTATCATCTGACTTGCCGTCTGTAATTAATATTACAGCTTTAATGGAAGATTGACGAGGATTAGCTTGAAAATTAGCCAATGCTGCATCTAATGCACTAGCTGTTGCCGTGTTTCCACTTTCATACGGTATACTGTTTATCATAGTCTTGATATTTGCTGGGTTTTGAAGGCTGAAATGAAACACAGAGGGTCATCTTGCCAAATGAAATTGGTTAGCGAGAGAGAGAGAAATGGGCTTTCGGGACTAACACACGGTTTAATTTTATTTCAATAATTTGCTTGCGCGTAGGGGTCTTTAGTAGTGGGAGGAAACCAGAGAAAACCAACTTATCAAAATGACTAGGTGCTGTGTTCCTTGCAAATTGTTCTTAAAAGAGAGAGAGAGAGAGAGAGAGAGAGTTTAAGTCCACTGACACAAACTAGGTCATTTAGATACCTACACATTTTTCAATTTTATTTCAATAATTCACTTGCGCGTAGGGGTCTTTAGTAGTGGGATGAAACCGGAGGTCCAAGAGAAAACCCACGAGGTTGGACAGGTGACCCTACTCCTTGTCACATACAACCGCGTAATCGAAACCACGCCAGTTGACTCAATGACAGACCGTATCATACAGCACACACGCGCCAACCATTCGGCCATCTGCTCCCCTCAGCCCCATAGATTCCAAGAGAGGAAACCAGTAAGAACTGTTGTTAAAAAGTCCTGAAAATTCTTCTCAGCCCAAACCAGGATCTGAATGAACCTAGGACATTCCGAGCGTGAAGCCATTGCTCTACCCCCCTCAAACACCTGGGTCTCTACCCTGGTGTTTTGTTAGCAACACAAACATTATTTAATGATACCCACCTGTTAGGGAGAGAGAGAGAGAAATGGGGTTTAACGTCCATGTGACACAAACTAGGTCATTTCGGGACTAACATATGGGTTAATTTTATTTCAATTATTCGCTTGCGCGTAGGGGTCTATAGCAGTGGGAAGAAATCGGTGGACCCCGGAGAAAACCCACAAGGTACCTGTTAAGGAGAGGGGTTTAATATCAATCTAATTAAAACACAGATCCTATTTCGTTTCGTTTTTATAGTTCAAAATTTCGTTTTACTTGTCTTTACTACACTAGGATCTGGAAGAGTTGTTATCATTGACGTGTTCTGAATGGTGTGAGGGGTTAGCCAATGAAACGGTCTGTTACGGCAAGCTTTAGGCATGTTTTGAAACGGAACTGTGGGTAAACCACTAGTAACATCAATGCTGATTGGTTAATCAAATGTCTGACGTCATTAAGCCGCTCGTATGACCTCTGACATGACCTATCCCAACAACCTGTCAGATCTTCATGTAGTGTAGGCCATGGAAAGTATAAAAAAAAACGAAACGAAATATAGATCTGTATTTTAATCAGATTGGGTTTAATATAGGCTATGCCTATTCTCCAATCCCTATTCAGATAGAAATCTGAATAAAAATATTGCTTAAAAAAATATAATACCCACCTGTTGAAACCTACAGCTTGAAACACTTTACTAGAATATCTTATAACACCCACTCTTGTTTTGGTAGTGCCAATTATAAATTCCTCTATTACATTTAAGACAAAGAGTTTAGCTCGTTCAAAATCATCTCTACTTAAACTACTTGAAGAATCAACTATAAACATCAAATCAATCTCTTCATTTCCAACACAACCTACAAAACAAAAATAACATAGGTTCTATAGAGAGAGCGAGAGAGGGAAATATGGTTTAACGTCCACTCGACACAAACTAGGTCCTTTCGGGACTAACACATGGTTCAATTTCATTTCAATAATTTTCTTGCACGTAGGGGTCTTTAGCAGTGGAAGGAAACCCGGAGGACTAGGATGAAAACCGCTGAGGTTAGACAGGTGTCCCTACTCCTTGTCACGTAAAAACAGGGAAACAAAACCATGCCACTTCACTCAATGTCTGATCCAACGTGCACACGTTAACCATTCAGCCACCCAAGCCCCCAAGGTTCTAAAGTAATATCAATCACGGACAAATGTGATATTTTAAAACAATTTATATGGAATACAATCACTGGTTTATAACAAGGCAATATTTGATTTGTGCTTGAAAATAATAAGAGAACACTTAACCAAATGTTGCCCTGTACGATAATAGAGACAGAGAAATGGGGTTTAACATCAACTCGAAACAAACTAGGTCCTTTTGGGACTAACACATGGTACAATTTTATTTCAATAATTCTCTTGCGCTTAGGGGACTTTAGCAGTGGAAGGAAATTGGAGGACTTGGAGAAAACCCACGAGTTTGTACAGGCGACACTACCCCTTGTCACGTACAACCGGGGAATCAAAACCATGCCAGTTGACTCAATGGTAGACCTTATGATACAATGTCCACATGCTAACCATTCGGCCATCCAACCCCCCAATCAATATCAGACCTTATGATTTCACTCCCACATGTTAAACCACTTGACCACCTAACCCCAGGTTATAAACTAGTGATTGTATTCCATAAATTACGCTCAAGAACTGATTATAGGCTTTTTAAGCAATTACTGCAGAAGTAGTAATGGACATATAATAACTTACTTTTAGTCATTAGATTAACAATGTTCTTAAAGTTATAAGCCATCACACTACAGAAGTAGTAATGGACATATAATAACTTACCTTTCGCACTACAGAAGTAGTAATGGACATACAATAACTTACCTTTCGCACTACAGAAGTGGTAATGGACATACAATAACTTACTTTTAGTCATTAGATTAACAATGTTCGTAAAGTTATAAGCCATCACACTACAGAAGTAGTAATGGACATATAATAACTTACATTTCGCACTACAGAAGTAGTAATGGACATACAATAACTTACCTTTTGCACTACAGAAGTAGTAATGGACATATAATAACTTACATCTCGCGCTACAGAAGTAGTAATGGACATAATAACTTACCTTTAGTCATTAGATTAACAATGTTCGTATAGTTATAAGCCATCAGTTTTCGAACTACAGAAGTTGTGATGGACATATTTGTAACTTACCTTTAGTCATTAGATTAACAATGTTCGTATAGTTATAAGCCGAAGTACCATTACGATAATCAGTTTCCCAATACGCTCCTTGCTCTTCTACATTTTGAGGTACAATTCCATTAACACTCTGCGCGATATACAGTGCTGCGGCTAGCCCGGAGTAAAGAGGTTTAACTAGTTCATGCCATGGAACAAGTGACCAATCCCTGTTAAACTTTTGTTGTATGATGGCATGCAGTGGAGTAAGCGTTGGTGTTTTCTGTTTAGTCTTCAAGAACATGTCTTCATCAATCTGAAATGGAATGGGGAGGCTTGGCATCTTGTCAACTCGTAACCTAAGGAATTTGTAAACTAAAATATGGTGCCCGTGTAACAAAATCACCTCTAGCATTAAAATCGTTCAAATAAAAGTATTTTTCTGGATCTTTAACCCTGAACCCCAACCAGGGCTCTGACATGGACTCACAGTGAAGCTTAAAACACCCCCAGATTCCGAGCTGCCTTTCTTGTGACCTACAGTTTGCCACTGCACAGGCTATATCCCATATTGAGAACTGTTTCTTCCAATCTACTTTAGCCATTTACAGCCCTGTTACTATAAAGAACATCAGACAGGACAGGCCACTCGCTGGTTATTCAAACATGATTATGGTATTATATCTATATTAAAATTCATATTAGGAAGGTCTCTTAGTGTAGCGTGCTAAAATTGGGTTATTGGGGCTTACCCCAAGCCCACGACTACCCACCCATTCCCACTCAATTCCGTTGGCGCTGTTTTTACGGACAATAATAAGGTATCTTACCCGCCAAATTCCACCAAAATATTCGGCTGCAAACGGGAGGGTTCCATCCCGAGATTCAACATAAGCAAGACGTCTTAGAAGTAGGTTATCATTAGGTAAGATACAGTTCTCGCGTATCAAACTAACTACAGCTTCCACAACTTCAGAACCATGACCATATGGCTGGATGGTCAAGTCAATTGATAAACTCTGAGTTACAAATAACACGAAAACAAATCTGAAATTTATAAATTTAAAGGGGCATTAAGGGAGATAAGTTAAAAAGTTGGCAGTTCTCACTATAATAGTTAAAAAATAGATAATGTAAAGGCAATTTCAGTCAAATTGATCCACTATGAACCAATGAGAACAAAAATCGAGGACCCATGTACACATTGGTGTGCACATAAAAGATTCCTTAGAAATTGGAATTCGATATAAGAGCAGGCCATGGCACCGCTGTCTGGGCAAAATTTCCCCTCATAGCACATTACATGGCATATGCCCGTCTTCATTGGCCCAGTCGGAGCAGAACAGTAAGAAATTAAACCCTAGTTCATGTATCTAAAGGGTTGTACATGACAAGGGGTAGGGTCGCCTGTCCAACCTTGTGGGTTTTCTCCGGGTCCTCCGGTTTCCTCCCACTGCTAAAGACCCCTATGCGCAAGCGAATTATTGAAATAAAATTAAACCATATGTTAGTCCCGAAATGACTCTCTCTCTCTCTCATTCATCTAAAGAAAACACACAAGGTTAGGCAGGCAACTTTACAAGATTGGGATCAAAATCAAAACTCTTGATCCACTACCCAGTCATCCCACCAGCACACCCCCAAAATGGATAAAGAAGTATGATGTATTTGCATGAGATTACAGTTACCGGTAGTTACAATTTACAATTTCTACATTTCAGTGCTAACTTTTAACTTTTCAAATTGGCCACTGTGTTGTATGTGGCTTGCTGATCTATCTATATAATGAAGACGGGCAGTTTTCCGCAATTTAAACATACACCTGCCGGTAACTGAGGAAGCAAAGTACTAAATCTTTCCAATACAATGGAGGTCGAAAATAAATTTTGAAATATAATAGAAAAAGAAATATCCTACTTACAGTTTCAACATGTCTGTTGTGTGATCTGGTGTCATACAAGTCACTGGAGAATAGTTCAATGGTATTTATAATAAAATGACATAATCTTATCACTCACTGATATAAGATAAAACACAAGTAGGTAAATATCCTGAATCAATTTCTTGGAACGAGCACTACAAAACATAGAAATAATCTCACAAAAATATGTCACATTGAATTTCAACAGTTTCCATCTTCAAAACTTTGTACTTTTAGGAAAGCAGTACAATCCTAAATTTTAAGACAATCTATGTAAACATCTTCTTAATATAATATGTAATCATGATTTGAAATCCCTAACATAATATCATTTATAGTTATTATTGTGTCATCGTTTGTACATGTAGTTATTATTATATTATCATTTGTACATGTAGTTAATATTGTATTATCATTTGTAGTTATGTATTATCATTTGTACATTATTATTTATCATTTGTAGTTATGTATTTGTACATGTAATTAATATTGTAATATCGTTTGTACATGTAGTTATTATTGTATTATCATTTGTAGTTATGTAGTGTATTATCATTTGAACTCCTAGTCATGTGTATTCATTGTGCCATCAACTATTTATTAGAAGTATTCCAAAAAAAATACTTGGATAATAATTACAAATGACTAATGATAATTGATTGATTATGATAATTAGAAATAATACAACAATGATGATAAATGAAATGAAATGGGGTTTAACATCCTACTGCTCTGACTGGGCTAATGAAGGCATAAAGACAATAATTACAAATGAAAATACAGTAATGACTACAAATGATAATACAGTAATGATTACAAATGAAAATATGATAATGATTACAAAGTATAATACGGTAATGATTACAAATGAAAATATGATAATGATTATATTTTATAATATAGTAATGACTACATATGAAAATATGATAATGATTATAAATGATAATATGGTAATGAATATAAATGATAATATGGTGATGATTACAAATGATAATATGGTAATGAATACAAATGATAATATGGTAATGATTACAAATGGTAATGTGGTAATGATTAAAAATGATAATATGGTAATGAATACAAATGGTAACGATTACAAATGATATTACAGTAATGATTACAAATGATAATATGGTAATGAATACAAATGATATTATGGTTATGATTACAAATGGTAATGATTACAAATGATAATACAGTAATGCTTACAACTGATAATACGGTAATGCTTACAACTGATAATATGGTAATGATTAAAAATGATAATATGGTAATGATTACAAATGTTTTAATAACATCTGGTAATGTCAACAAATGATAAGCTTTAAAAAGATCAGATGATAAACCTTGAAAGGATCAGATGATAAATGTAATTTGCAGAGTGTTCACAAGGAATGTGAGCCTATAAAAACAAACCATGTCCTTTGAACTGAACAAAGCCTATTGTAGGACTGATATCTGACTGAAGTTTTTCGTTGATATGAGAATAGATTATTTAAAAAAACTTCCTGGTTTGGCCAAGTGCGATTATTATCTTTAAGATAAAGTAGATTAATATTTTGATAAATCATCCATTATCTACATAAGCATAGATAAATATGCAACAAAAAAAAAACTTCCTCAAACATCTGATAACCCCTCAGTTTGATTTGTCCAACAAACACTCTTAAACATACATTATTCAAGAGCTAAATCTGCTTATTGCAGGTCTTTATTTAGGCCTGAAATGTTATATAAACTATTAATTCAACATTTATTAACATGAAAATTCCATAATCAACTCTCGATGCCATCTTATGTGTCCGATTTTCATTGGATTTGAATCCGACCTGCTGTTAAATGTTGATAATCAAGACTTTGCTAATTATCATGACAACGGCAACAATGACAATCGAGGTTACATTGATTTTAAAATATGGTTTTCTCGGTATATTCTTTAAATGGCATTTAGTAATTGGAACATAATCAAATAACACACTATTTATGGATAACAATTACTGTGGTTTATTTCATTGCGACGTTTCAACAAGATTTCACAAGTCGTTATCAACTTTTTGTTTGTGTTATATGCTTGATAACGACTTGTGAAATCTTGTTGAAATGTCGCAGTGAAATAAACCACAGTAATTGTTATCCATAAATAGTGTGTTATTTGATGGTTTTCTCGGCTTGAGTGAGGCATTTTGACTGAAATTTTCAGAATATTCCTTTTACATCATCTAGTTTTTAACTATTATAGTGATAACTACCAGCTCTTTAATTATCTAATCTTCCATAATGTATCTTTAAACACTTACATTGACCTATCATCACTCCATGACATTCCTGTGGCATATATCTTTACTTTAATGTAAGGCTAAATCTATTTGTTAAGGCCAGCTCAATTTTTGTCAAGGTCGTTGAGATGTAAATAAGGTTAGGGCACATGATTGTTGGCGAAATTGTAGGTTAGTGTAAGCAGTGGGGCTAGGTCCAGGGTTAGGATTGGGATTAGCACTAGCCCTGTTTACATCTCGTGACCTATGACGAAAAATTGAGCTGGCCTTATCATTTAGCACTAACCAGGTACTAATGATGTTGTACCTGACATTTTTAACTTTGTTCCAGACATGTATTATCAACAAAATCATAGAAATAGACAAAAATCAGTGTCAATCAAAGTGACGGGCATCAGAGGGATGGTTTCTCACAAAGCCGGAATATCTATTTCCAGGCTTGATTATTTCAAAGCGCTTTCTGACGGAGATCAATGTTTTTGACTCGATTCATCAGGATTCACCCTGTCAAATTACACTTCATAGACTAGCTCTTTATTACTAATATTTTTTATACGCATATCTTTTGATTTCTAACTTTTTAATGTTTCCAAAATTTCATTCAATCTAAGTAGACAGACTAGCAATATCAAGGGGTTGGACTTGAAAAGGGGTGTGGGTCCTCAATGTAATGAAGACTTCAGGGATTGGATAACAATATGATGACAGGTGATCCCGGCCAACCTCAAATAGGATCTGAGCATGAGCAGTCACTAAATGAAAGAAATTAAATGGGATTTAACGTTCTACTGACTGTTCTGCATCAACTGGGCTAATGAAGATGGAGTCACTATAGCAACTAGCTTGCTAGTTTGCCTTTGGCCCATGCCTGGAAAAACACACTTGCTGCTTGCAATATGATCACTAAATCACCAGTTGTTAGAAATGGTGGTATCCCCAAGATAAGTTTGTTATCAATATTCATACAACAGGCAACTTGTGTATACATAGTAATTTCGGTACAGTGACACTCTCATGTCATTCCCTGTAAATGAATCTTTTCTTTATCTTTCATCCTGATAAATCTGTGACCTTAATATGAATGTCGCTTCAATTCTTATCGTAATATTTGTCATATCATGCTACTGCTAAAGACTCCTATGCACAAGCAAATTATTGGAATAAAATTGAAGCACATGCTACGTTATTCCCCAAAGTGACTCTGAGTTTGTGTGAAGTGGATGTTAAACCTCTTTTATATCTCCCCCTACCCCTGCTCCCAGCCCCATATGTCATCTCCTGCATTGTCTGAGAGAGAGAGAGAGAGTCCACTCGATGCAGACTAGGTCATTTTGGGATTAACATATGGTTTTAATTTTATTTCAATAATTCGCTTGCGCATAGGGGTCTTTAGTAGTGGGAGGAAACTAGAGGACCCGGTGAAAACCCACGAGGTTGGACAGGCTGGTAATTAACAATAAACACAATATATTAACAATATATCCATTTATTTTCCTTCACTTCGCAAGTCTGTAAACACCACTGTAATATACCAGTTTCTGTTCACGTATTTTACGATCTAAAAAACCCTTTAACTCTGGTAAACTCACTTCCCCTGTTGAAGGTCCTTGCATGGCAAACATTCGTAACATAGTATGTATTCTCTCTAATGGTAGAGATTCTAGGTTTGTAAGCATTCCAACTATATAGGTCCAGAAAACCTGAAAACAATCATATGTAATATTACAATGGATGATGGTATTTCTCATACATAATTTTTTAGCAGACGATTACGATTAACTCAACTAACATACTAAACATTCATTATACTCAGTTTTAAACACATAAATAATCCCACACTGATCAGCAGTGTATATTTGCTAGGTCGCTACACTGATCAGCAGTGAATATTCATGAGGCCGCTACAATCTCTGATAAGAATGACATTGATGCGACTTAACGAGTCCCAAATATTAACTTTTTTCCTCCGACAAATTAAATTCTAAAACATTTTTTTTTATGTATTAGAAAAATAAATAAAGACGTTTGAAGTATTTGTAGGTAAGAATTATTTCCTATTTAGTATAAATCAGTATTAAAGTGAGTAAAAGGCACCCTTCTGCCCGAACCAGTAACGTCCTATGTAAACAATGCACGCAACATTGAGCAGTCATCTTTTACAGAGATATCAGAAGACTTTCGTAATCCTCTGTGAAACAGATTGAAATAATCCTATTTGTCTCATCACCATTATACATCAACTTCTAAATGTCATTTAAAGATACTTTCTCATCATATATTTGGTTGGATTAAAAATATATTCAAACTAATTAATCTATCAGCAATGTGCGAGCCCGACTTAATTAAACTGATCACAGACCCATTCAATTTCATTACTAAAGAGTTTAAAATTTAAATAAATGCCCAGATTGAACACCAAATTTTATAGCATCAAAGAAGAATAGAGACAATAACAACTACATGTATATGGAAATGAAATAAATTTAAAAGGGGTTTAATATCCTACTGTTCTACATGCATACATGCCAACCTGAGGAGATTGAAAATCAGAATGCCTTGTATTGAGGGTAGAGCGAGGACCGCAGGCTTGAAGGGCGTGGGGTTTGGGGCCCGCCTAAGGGCTCCAAGAAAATTTTGAGAAATTAGCACCTATTTAAAGCAGTACCTTGTATTATTGGATAAAAACAGCTGGTGATTTAGGTCCATGCATCTGAGATTTTTTTACCTATTTATATACGAAAGTATGCATATATGCTTTTGGTCATTTACATGTAGGCATGACCTAAATTTGTTGTTAAGTGTTAAGTGTTGTTAAATCACTCCTACAGACTAAACAAAATGCGAATTCGTCGCCTCTACGCGAGGACGTAATGGCTCTTGGAAATTCTTTGCCGTAAGTTTCCCGGTATTTTTGTCTGACATTTGTTTTGAAAGCCAGTTTGTTTGTCTTGACGACCGACACGTAAGTAGAAGTCATAAATTATTTATACTGGGTTTTATTTATAATTGTAATTTGTTTTTTTCACACATGGAAAACAGCTTGAAAACATTTTTTATCAAGTCAGAAGGAAATATGGCTAAGGAAGAAGCAACAACGTTACTGGCAACTGAACTAACGGTAAACCTGCCGTGTACTGTACGAGTGTATGCGAGAATGGCTCCGCGTAGCAAATAATATCCGCGTAGCAAATAATATCCGCGAAGTATGCAAATTAGGCACGGCCTATGACGAAATAACCACATGACATTTTAATCTCGATTAGTCCAGACATATTAGCTTATTCCATTTTATATTAATAATAATCGAGAAAACTGGAGACATGTTTTCGGCTATTTCTGTCGTTTTACCGCGAATTATGCAAATTAGATACGGCAAATGACGGAAATAACCACATGACATTTTGATCTTGATTAGTCCAGACATAATAGCTTATTCCATTTTATATTAATAATAATAATAAGGAAAACATGACATATGTTCTCGACTATTTTCGTTGTTTTACCGACTCATACTACGATAAACAGTATTGCCATCAGATTCACAACAAACAGCGAGAATGCCGAGACAATCGTCAATGTTAAAATAAAACGAGAGGGATTTTATCAATCAAAAAGGTCAGGAATGAAATATAATAAATTTCTTCCAATAAATTTTAAAAAACAGAATTATAAAGAGTAAAATCGGAATTCAGAATTAGACTCCGAAAATCGGAATTCAGAATTAGACTCCGAAAATCGGAATGATTCCGACAAAATCGGAATAGTTGGCAATGTACATGGTGTGCTATGAGAGAAATTTGGCCCGGATAGCAGCACTACAGCCTACTCTATATCAAATTCCAACTGCCAAGGGATCATTTACGTGCACACCAATGTGTACACAGGACCTTGGTTTTTCATACCATTCAAACAACTAGATAGCTGTCCTTGTCAGGCCCTCCATCCTGCACCACTGACAAGGGGAAACCACGACGGAAAATCTTGACGAACTTTCTCAACCAACACCAGAGGCGAACCCTTAACCTCCAGGCTAGCAAGCCAGGGTCTTACCCGCTTAGCCACCAGGGCTCCCTGTATATGGAAAATAGTTCAATAATAATCAATGAGTGAATGGGAGAGGCTGACAATGATTTTAAACTAACCTGTAACTCTTCTTCTCTCTGTTGTTGAGCAGATGCCATAGCTGACTCAGATTCATCCTCCACCATTACGACCTCATGACCTTGACCTTTAACCTCATCAACTAGGACGAATGTATCAGGTACTTCTTCTTTCAATAAACCCTGTGTTTGCCAGTAGGTTATTTTACGTCGTAAAGCAGACACAGACATCTGTAGAACACCACTTAATTCTTCCACATCCCATCGAACTGTAAAAGACGGTATGCATATTATAATTGATACTAAAAGCGCTGAATATTAAAGATGCATTATGGGAGATTCGATAACGAGTTGGCAGTTCTCGCTATAATAATTAAAAACTAGATAACTTGAAGGCAATTTGCTGAAAATTTCATTCAAATTGATCCACTATGAACCGAGAACTAAGCGAATGAAATTTCTGCCTAGCCTCGGTCATCATTACAAAAATCAGTACAATAAACAGCATAGTCTCAATTATCCATTTAATCGTTTAATCAAGAAGGAAAGTTATGCAGTAAATCGGCTCACAATCCACTTAAGATCGCAGGCTAGCGATGCCATCTAGAGTTGATTATGGTCTGGATAGGTTAATTAATGTCTAATTAATAATTTAGATAACATTTCAGGCCTAAAGAAAGACCTGCAATAAGCAGATTTAGCTCTTGCATAATGTATGTTTAATATTCAATTGATACTGAAATGATATCTTCAAGTGATACTGAAAGATCTGGCATATCTTCGATTGGTACAGAAAGACACAAACTAGGTCATTTTGGGACTAACATATGGTTCATATTTAATTTCAATAATTCAATTGCGCGTAGGGGTCTTTGGAAGTTGGAGGAAACTGCAGGACCCGGAGAAAACACACAAGATTGGACAGGCGACCCTACGTCTTGTCACGTACAACCGGGGAATCGAAACCACACCAGTTGACTCAATGACAGACCTTATGATATAGCGCACACACGCTAACTATTTGACCATCTGACCCCCCTAAATGCATGGAACTTACCTTTATTTTGAAACTGCATAATGATAGCTGCATGAACTGGTGACACAGAAAAACTCAGATTTGTTCCATTATGTTCTATTTCTATCTTCATCATACCTGAAGTTCAAAATATCAATGTGGTATACATATTTTGGTGAGTATTTCCAATATTCCTCAAGTGGTATGCCACCTGATTAGTGAGTCACAATTGGAACACTATATTTACAAACATATACTGGGGTTGGTCAGGCCAACTTACCCTGAGCAGAAAATGCTCATTATCGAACTTAGTCAAGGTATTGATGTAATGAAACTATACACTCTTGACTATGCTCATCTTGAACATTCTAGCTCAATTAGAAAGAGAGTTATTGTGTCCCAAAAAGACAGACAGACAGACGGACAGACAGACGGACGAACCCATTTTAATAGTCCCCTGCTTTCTTCGAAAGGCGGGGGACAAAAATGTATTATTCATTATTGATGGGATTACAGTTTTACCATCACCAGAAGTGTTTACTTGAACAAATTCGGCAATAAATAAGAGGTCATAGACAATAATTAAGAGGCTACAGACAATAATTAAGAGGCTACAGACAATGACTAAGATGCTACAAAACAATAGTTAAGAGGCTACAGAAAATATAATTAGGAGGCTACAAACAATGACTAAGATCCTGGAAGATAATAATTAAGATGTTACAGGCTGGGCTATCTTACATGCAGCTTACCTAAATGAGGTTTCCAGTTTAATGTTCTGTTTCCCTTTAAAGCTTCAAACTTCTTGGTATATTCTTCCAGGGATTTCTGCATCTCCTTGGGCAGAGTTATCTTTTCTTCCCGTAATGGAGGCCAGAAATGTGCTGACAAAATCAGTGCATTAATATCAATATCCTTCAAATAACAAAAACAAAACTTGATTTTAACTTGATTTTTAGTAATACTGATTTATTTTATTTGAAAGCTGACCAGTCAAACAATCAACAGATCGGCATATCAGAGGTAAGATGGCAAATAATTTGGAACAAGAAAGAAACCTAAATGGGGATGAAATGGAATGGGGTATTATGTCTTGTCAACAGAATACATGAGTCATTTTGAGAAAAACATATTTTAATTGTTATTTCTATGGTAACGGACAGCAGCTTTTGAGGGTGTAATGAGGGCAAATCTTGCATCGAGAATACTGTTTCAGTCTATTCTTCATCAAATTCCAAATGACGCAGGTTCTTTTATATGCACCCTTGACAAGAGGAAACCGGGAACTTTCTTGACCAACATCAAGATCGAACTCAAGACCTCCTGGTTAGTGAGTCAACTCCATACTCACTGAGCCACTGTGGCTCCAAATCTTCACTGAAGTTTTGTTTTGGCTCCAAATCTCTACTGAAGTTTTGTTTTGGCTCCAAATCTTCACTGAAGTTTTGTTTTGGCTTCAAATCTTCACTGAAGTTTTGTTTTGGCTTCAAATCTTCACTGAAGTTTTGTTTTGGCTTCAAATCTTCACTGAAGTTTTGTTTTGGCTTCAAATCTTCACTGAAGTTTTGTTTTGCTCCAAATCTCTACTAAAGTTTTGTTTTGGCTCCAAATCTTCACTGAAGTTTTGTATTGGAATATTTCAAAAGAGAAAAATTTATCCTTTATTTACCATTTTTTGCTCGACTAGAGCCATCTCTTGTACAATTCTACTATTAATTCTTTTCGAATCTGCCACATCTTTAAGCATCACTTCACAATAGTGTAGTTGAGATTCACCAAATCTTAATTTTAACATCTCGAGATATCGTAACTCTCGGTCCATATCACAGTTAAATTGATTAAGAATACGATCAGTTAATAATGTACGATATTCATTCACAAACAGTTCTTTACTACCATAGATATTCACAAGCATACTAATAATGTCTGATGCTCTACGACTTTTTGATGTTGTCGCTGAAAATAAATTAATGAAAAATACATGTAATGAAGCAAGTCAACACTGAGATGATGTTACCTGTTCCAATCTCAAAATAAATTTCAAACGGATTTTCTCTGCTTAGCCTAAGCGAAATGAAATTTGGTTTAATGTCCTACTGTTCTGTTCAGACTGGGCTAATGAGGACGGATTTAGCCTAAGCAGAAAATGTTCATCATCGAAGCAGAGTTTGATGTTTAACCTTTCCGCACCAACCGGGCTTATGTCGTTTTTGTGTCCCATCCAAATGACTAGATGCTGTTCCTGGCAAATGTCCTTAAAACTATGATCAAAGGAAAATATACTCTATTTCTTATTCTCTGTCAGTATAATCAATAATTAAGTCAAAATAAATTTTTCTTACATGGATCAGCATCAACAGGATCTGGCATCCATGTTTCCCAATCTCCTTCATCCTCATCGCTACATGTATCATCTTCTAGAACTAATGGTTGACCTTTCCATAATTCATCTAATAATTCGTTACTACCTTCTTCTGTTAAACATAGTACTATACACCGAACTGTATCTTCACGTGATCTACAACAGAAATTGGACCTTCTGTCACCAGCATCATACTGAACATATTCCTGAAGCAATGGCCCGAGAAATTCCTCTCTGGCTATTAAGATACATTGTGGGAGATTCGATAACGAGTTGGCAGTTCTCACTATAATAGCTAAAAACTAGATAATGTAAAGGTAATTTGCTGAAAATTTCATTCAAATTGATCCACTATGAACCGAGAACTAAGCGATTGAAATTTCCGCCTAGCCTCGATCATCATTACTAAAGTCAGTAAGATAAACAACATAGTCTTGATTACCCATTTAATCGTTAAATCGTGAAGGAAAGTTATGCAGTAAATCAGCTCATAATCCACTAAATATCGCAGGCTAGCGATGATATCGAGAGTTGATTATGGTCTGGATAGGTTAATTAATGTCTAATTAATAATTTAGAAAACATTTCAGGCCTAAAGAAAGACCTGCAATAAACAGATTTAGCTCTTGCATAATGTATGTTTACTGGATTGATACTTGAGCTTTTGGGGGAGTGTGTCTATTCTTCCCGTTCATCATGACAGCCCTTTGTTTAATCTGGGGTCTTCCCTAAAACTTTGGAGATGATTTTAAGAAATAACAACGGCAAAAGTATTATTAGTCTCCAAGCAGTATTGTTTACATTGTAGCCATTTTGATAGCCTTGCTGTTTGTCACGCAATTAGTTTTTCTGCAATGCACTGGTTAATTGGGCATAATAAATTTTGTGAGTCATGGCATAACGTTATGTAAATATATCTGGAGCTCTGTTTAAACCCGAATGATGTTGCTACACAGTTAGGTATTGGTTGTTAATCGGACTATTGACCAGTCATAATTTGGAACAGAAACTTGCTTTCATGACAGCAGGTTTTGAGTGGGATTAGGAATAATCAAACGAAACACTGTAAGGAGTATGCATAATGATTCTGCTTTACATATTCAAGAAAAATGATAATTCTTTTAAATTTTGAATCGCTTGTGCGGGACTCAAATCATACATGTACCATTGCATAAATAAATATGCTTTCTCCATCAGAGCAGTTAAAATGTGGAATGATCTTCCAAAAACTCTTAGAGAGTCCTCTTCCATCCAGAGCTTTAGGACTAACTTAAAAACATTTATTTCAAAAATGTTTTTGTACTTTTTTGTTGTGAATGCGCTTAGAAACACTCATGTGTAATGAATAAATTGAAAAATAATAATAATTTTAAAATTTATTACCATTTATTTTGTTACATTTTCCCTCTATATCAATGGAAAACTTATCTTGTTGTATATCCATTTCAATTGCATACCTTATTTGTTATGTATATTCAATTGTACTGTATACTGTTCATTTGTTTTATGTTTCTTAACAGTTAATAAATGTTCTTATTACTATATTGGAGCCACGGTGGCTAAGTGGGTAAGACGCTGCCTCACTAGTCTGGAGGTCGTGTGTTCGATCCCTGCATTGGCTGAAAAAGTTCATCTGGATTTTCCGGCGTGGGTCCCCATGTCAGTGGTGCAAGAAGGAGGACCTGACAAGGACAGCTGTCTATGCATTCGGATGGGACGAAAAAATTACGTCCTGTGTATACATTGGCGTACACTTAAAAGATCCTCTGGCAGTTGGAATTCAATATAAGAGTAGGCCATAGTGCCGCTGCCCAGGCAAAATTTCCCTCATAGCAAACTACATGGCGATGTAAGCCCCGAACATTATGACGTTAAACCCCATTACATTTCATTTAATACCATATCTTACCTCAAATATTTTCTAACTGGTTCACTAACAAATTCAAGTATAACACCTGCTGGATCTAACACACGTAATGATCTAATAGCTGATATATATGCTGATAGAATAACAGTTGTATTTACACCTGCAAGTAATCACAAGTAATATTAATATTTAACAGTAGAATGAGACATATACATGTACACTACACTTTCTACCTTCAAGTTGCAGAGGGGTTGAATGGCCAAATGGTTAGCACGTGCGCACTGTATCATAAGGTCTGTCATTGAGTCAACTGATGTGGTTTTGATTTCCTGATTTCCTGATTGTACGTGACAAGGAATAGGGTCACCTGTCCAACCTCATGGGTTTTCTCTGTTTTCCTCCCTCTGCTAAAGACCCCTACGCGCAAGCAAATTATTAAACAAAATTGAACCATATGTTAGTCCCGAAATGACCTAGTTTGTGTCTAGTGGATATTAAACCCCATTTCTTTCTCCCTCTATTTGATTTCTTTGACTGTTGGTATAATTATTTCAGAAATTGAAATTAACAAAGACATCAACACTATTATTGAGTCTTTAAACTAACCTGGATGTAAAAGTCTATCTTCTAAAGCTTTACGTAATGAAGACATCAGTTGTGATCGTAGATTTGTTTTCTCCAGACAGGTTTTCAGATCCAAAATGGCTGGTTCCGATTCTGGATAGTCAATGACGATCATAAATAACTGTTCAATTCTAGCATTAGCATAAGTTTCAAATAAAAAATGGAGTAATCTGCCCCTAAATGCAGATATACTGTTGTGGCTTTTTTCTCCTGCATAGATTGAATTTAACCATCCTAATACCTTGGTATCTAGCCACTGAAATATATTTTGTTTAAAATAATATTCATGAACAGAATGGTCATTAATATGGATGGGATTTAACACTGTAACCCAGTTATCATTTAATCTTGTGTATCTAGCACTCATTTCTTTCACATTTGTTTAATATCCAATCTTTGTTTAAAAATTTGAAAAAACTGTTCAAAATCACCATAAATTGTTTAATTTGTACTTCTGTTTAGTTTAAATCTGACCATTCAATTTTGATAATGAGTGTCCAATTTACAAGTGTTTAATTTCTCAATCACTGCCCAATTGATTATGATGTATAATGATTAATTTTTGAACAGTGGTCAGGAAATTAAATACTTGTAAATTGGACACTCATTATCAAAATTAATCAGTCAGCTTTAAACTGGACACAAGTACAAATTAGATGATTTTTGGTGATTTTAAACGATTTTTATGAATTTTTAAACAAAGATTTTGATATTAAACGAATATGAAAGAAATTAGTGCTAGATACACAAGATTAAATGATACCTGGGTTACAGTGTAATGTCTCATCAACAGAGAACTTTAGTCAGTCTGAGATAAACATTATGTCCTAGTTTGTGTCAAGTGGGTGTTAAATGATTAGTTCGAAATGATAAGGCCAGCTTAATGTTTCATCATAGGTCACGAGATGTAAACAGGGCTAGCGCTACTCCCAACCCTAACCCTAACCCTGGACCTAGCCCCAATGCTTCCCCTAACCTACAATCTTGCCAAAAATCATGCGCCCTAACCTTATTTACATCTCAGTGACATTTACAAAAAGATTGAGCTGGCCTTGACAAATAGATATAGCCATGTTAAACCCCATTTCTCTCTCCTAGGATCATTGGGATCATATCTAAGGCACTAAGGTCAATATCGACATAATGACACAATTACCTGAATGGTTTAATATGTGTGCGTTAGATCACATTAAGTCAAGTTGTTTAGTTTCAACAGGGAAAGGGATAGAGTCACCTGTCCAATCAGGTTTTCTCTGGACCTGTTGATTTCCACCCACTGCTAAAGACCCCTACGCTCAAGCGAATTATTGAAATAAAATTCAACCATATGTTAGTCCCAAAATGACATAGTTTGTGTCAGTGGTTATTTAACTCTCTCTTTCTCTCTGTCAATGCAGGAGATGACATATAGGTATAGACAAAACAAATGATGGCAGAGACAAAGCTCTCTCTCTCTCTCTCTCTCTCTCTCTCTCTCTCTGTCTCTCTGTCTCTCTGACAATGCAGGAGATGACATAGGTATAGACAAAACAAATGATGGCAGAGAAAAAGATATTTACATCTCTCTCTTTCTCTCTCTCCTTACCTTTTCTAAATGTTCAAAATAAGATGTTTCAAAATTTCCTTTACAGTTGGTGTTTATATAACTCTCTATCTGACTATGTACAATAGATGTCACGGCAGCACCTGATACTTTCTCTAATACACCTATATCATCTCTGAAAGGCAACCAAACAATCATTCAAAATGATGCTTTATTTAAAGATACCACATGAACATTGGTGAGATGATTCATAAATATTTCTATTTCATTTTTAAATTCTATACAGTATGAATTTGCAAATCAAGCATGCTTATGCTAAAAAATGAAAATTTTGTACATATCAATAGTGTATTTGCAGGAAATGAAATGAAATGAAATGGGGTTTAACGTCCTACTGTTCTGCTCCGACTGGGCGAATGAAGACGGGTATTTTCAGGAACAAATTCCGACTTGAAGAGCAAGAAAATTTATTCTGTTCAGACAAGTTATATAGTGGGTACCATGCAATTTTCTGGTACATATAGACAATGTTTCCAAGAACGGGTCATACTAGTACTTCTCATTAGAAATTAATGAGGTTAGTCAGCTGATCTTAAAGAACAGTATTGGTGTTCACCAATATTTACGTAAGTGGAAGGTCATGGTAAAAAATATTCTGATTGATATCCTTTATTTGTGTCCCTTCCAATCTGATTAAAACAAAGATCCTATTTCGTTACATTTTTCAAAATTTCGTTTTACGTGTCTTTACTACACAAAGATCTGGAAGAGTTGTTATATTACTGGCGTTCTGGTTGAAGTGAGGGAGTAGCCAATGAAACAGTCTGTTACGGAGAGTTCTTGGCGTTTGATGCACCACTAGAAACGTCAACGCCGATTGATTAATCAATGTTCGACATCATACGAAACAAAAAACGAAACGAAATATAGATCTGTATTTTAATCAGATTGCGTCCCTTCCTGAATCTGCAAATCGTTATGGATGTTCGATGACAAAGTATTCTATGTTAAAATTATGTCTGGAATCTATTTGACCATTTCTGTTAAATATCTAAAATTGGTAGAGACCAACATTGTTTTTTAAGCAGTTTGATTAACAACAAGCCAACAGTGAGGCTGATGTCCCCCGCCGAAATAGGAAAATAATTAGAGGACACATATAAATTTATCACAAATTATCTTTTACAAAGTATTGAACAATCAAACAGTATATCTTTACTTATAGTCTAACAATCAAAGTAGGAGAGTTATTGTTTTCCAAAGTCTCGACCAATCAAATTGCGTATCGCTCTGCTTACCCTGAGCAGAAAATGCTCATTATCAAACTTAGTCAAGGTATTACTGTAATGAAACTATACACCAAGTTTCATCAATCTCACTTAATTAGAACTAAAGTTATCGTGTCCCAAAGCATCAACCAATCAAATTGCTTATCTCTGCTTACCCTAAGCGGAAAATGCTCATCTTCGAACTCCATCAAGGCATTGACCTAATCAACACATACACCAAGTTTGAACATTCTAGCTCAATTAGGAAGAGAGTTATCGTGCCCCAAAGTATCAACCAATCAAATTGCTTATCTCTGCTTACCCTAAGCGGAAAATGCTCATCTTCGAACTTCATCAAGGCATTGACCTAATAAACACATACACCAAGTTTGAACATTCTAGCTCAATTAAAAGTTATCGTGTCCCAAAGCATCAACCAATCAAATTGCTTATCTCTGCTTACCCTAAGCGGAAAATGCTCATCTTCGAACTCCATCAAGGCATTGACCTAATCAACACATACACCAAGTTTGAACATTCTAGCCCAATTAGGAAGAGAGTTATCGTGTCCCAAAGCATCAACCAATCAAATTGCTTATCTCTGCTTACCCTAAGCGGAAAATGCTCATCTTCGAACTCCATCAAGGCATTGACCTAATAAACACATACACTAAGTTTGAACATTCTAGCTCAATTAGGAAGAGAGTTATTGTGTCCCAAAAAGTGTGACGGACAGACAGACGGACAGACAGACGGACGGACAGACGGACGGACAGACGGACAGACAGACGGACAGACGGACGAACCCATTTTAATAGTCCCCTGCTTTCTTCGAAAGGCGGGGGACAATAAATTAATTATGTATTAAATGATGTTACCTACAGGGTGTGTACAGGGTATGTAGATAGAGTTATAAATAATATTAAAAGAACTTACAGTTTTTTATTGACAGAATGGAATGTCTCCATGATTTCCTGACATGTACATGTGCTAACATCAATTTGACATCCATCACATAATGGTGACTTCTCTTCTCCTGAAATAAAAAATGTTTTAAATTGATTCTGATTTAAACTTTCACTCTATAATCAAAATTTTACTATATCCATTTCCCATTATCCCTGTCATTAGGGGAGAGAGAACTGAACAATGGACCCTGAGCCCGTTTTTAAGACAACTGATATTGACAAAAATATATAACTGAAGCAAGATCGAAAGGACAAATTTAAAGGATCGAAGAAGCAAGAACATTCAATATCCTTCTAATCTACAAGCTGATTCAAGAAAGCAATTTAAAAAAAAAACAATAGTTGACATTATTAATAATTACTTCAAAAGTTTTCTTTTATTTGAACAAAATATTACATGCTATCCGAAAATTTTACAAATTGAACTCCTAATATATCAATCAGCAAATACAGCCACAGCTAAAAAGATAACACATGACACAATCATATGGAATAAAGCTACCTTAAGGATTTATTTCAGCAGCGTTTCGACAAGGGTTCTCCTGTCTTTATCAAGCAAACAATGACAACCACAGTACAATGATACAAAAGACAAACATCTATATACAATCAGAAATGAAATGAAATGGGGTTTAATGTCCTATTGTTTTGCTCCGAACTGGGCTAATGAAGACAGGATATACAATCAGAGATAATCATTTAGAAACCATCAAAGGGGTGGGAAGCCATAAAAAGATCTACTAAGAATGAACAGATCTTACCTGCATCGTGGCTTTCTGTGTTTATATGATGAAAAACACGAAAAGCTTCCGAATAATACTTTTCAACCGAAGTCAGAAATGTTTCTGGGTAGGTGTAAAAAATAATAGCTTTATAAAATGTTATTATTAATGAAGAAATATTTTTGGAAGTAGCAGTTTGACCTACTGGCGACACAGACTCTAAAAGGTTTATGCAAGACCTATATTCTCTTGTAATTTCATATAAATAATTCACAGATTCAACAAATTTCTGTATGTAAGCACTGTTCTCTGTTTCATCTTCTAACTCTTTGAAAAAGTTCCAAAAAATTGGACCAATTCTATGTCTTAAATCTTGTTGTAGTGTTTCTATAAACCACTCCTCGATGATATAGTCTAAATTATTTGCTTCTAGTGTTTGCCAAGCTTCACAAAATTCTTTACGATTATGTTGATCTTCATTCTGAAAAATAATAGTAGTACATAGTATTTTGATATAATCATCTAGTTAAACGTACATGTATTTGGTATGCCCAAGGTACTTAAACTGCAGATTTTGTAAATACCGAAGAATCCGAAAAACTAGGGAGTAGGACAAGTCACAGGGAACTCCAATTTCAAAATGTTAAAACATCTTTGATTTGTGTTGATGCAACCAAAAATTCACTCTGGATCATTTTTCATTTGTGTTGCAATACAAAACCATACTGGCTAGTATTGGCTATGTCAGGAATGATGGCAAGTAGAAAAGAGAGAGGGAGAGAAATGGGGTTTAAAGTCCACTTGACAAAAAATAGGTCATTTCGGGACTAACATATGGTTCAATTTTATTTCCATAATTTGCTTGCGTATAGGGGTCTTTAGCAGTGGGAGGAAACCGGAGGAACCGGAGAAAACCCACGAGGTTGGACAGGCGAACCCTACTCCTTGTCACTTACAACAGGGGAATCGAAACCCTTCCAGTTGACTCAATGACAGACTTTATGATACAGCACACGCGTGCTAACCATTCAGCCATCCAACCCCCCGGTAAGTAGAAAAGGACAGGACAAATTCATGCTAATGTTAAACCATCGTGACCAAAAGACTGTGTTTTATTGAATTTTTCATACCTTGATGTCACTTAAAGAATATGCTATGGTTTGGGAAGAATTTTCGACTGTAACGTTTGTTTGGTAAAATTAATAACGTTATATTATAATTCTTAATTACTTGGTTAATTAAAGTGATCAATCTCCTTAATTAATGGGAGTTATTTCCCTTTAAATCCCAAACCCACAAGCGGGAACACTTCTAAATAAACTATTATTGCTTTAAGGAGTGCCCCCTGTTACTCTAGCCTTAAAATTGTATCACATATAAAGAATTCTCAAGTATAATCATATTTAACAAACTTGAGATGCTGATGGCTTGAGCTGTTCACTAATAACTGTCCAAGCCTTCGATAACAATTCATCACTTGACTCCATCATAGATGGTAGCTAAAATTTAATACCGGAAAACAAATACATTCTCATGTCTTCAAAAAAGAAACATTTAAATAATTCCATCAAATTTTTCGTCTTCTTTACATATAAAATACTTACTTATTTAATGCGTTACCTCTATATAGTCTTCAAATTAGGTTATGGTTTAACTTTTCGTTTTTAATTCTAATTCGTCTCAGTAAGCAAACAGGGTGCGGGATCAAATTTGAATAAATAAGCAGCTTCCGGTTAATAAGTAAACATTCAAAAGAAAGGGCACCGGTATCAAACGTTTCTAGTGCGAATATAGTTTTGAATATTCTTAGAACAGCAACGCATAATGGTAAGTAATTTTAAATAGAACATTTTGTATGTTTTACTATTTAATTGGGCGCTATTCTACTAATGTCGATGTGGTCATTCAGTAGTACTAGACTAGAGTACGGTACTGTAGTTGTAGTGAGTGTAGTTCCATTGACTGTGTGTGTCGTGTAGGAGGGTAGTGTCAGTGTGTGTGTCCAAATGTTATTATAGCGCGTGCACGTTGGATCATAAGGTCTTTCACAGTGTCATTGAGTCAAGGGGCGTGGTTTCGATTCCCTGCTTGAATGTGACACAGAGTAAGGTAACCTGCCCAACCTCGTGAGGGTTTTCTCCCTGTGTCCTCCGTTTTGAATAAACTTGAACCATTACATATTACTGATGATTTACTCAGTTAGTCCCAAAATGACCTAGTTTGTGACATTAAACCCCATTTCTTTCCATTGACATTGTAGGATATGTATTAATGAATTTAGTAATAACTTTTTGTTTCATTTAAGTCTCTGACCCTTGATACAGATGTTGGTGAAATCAAGGTTGAGCTATTCTGCGAACAAGTTCCTAAATCGTGCCAGGTAAACAGTTTATGACTACATGTATCAGCTCCTATTCTGTCCATTAATACCCGGCTTATTTGTACGCTTTGTACAATTTTGTTAAAAAAACTTGTAATGGTGTCTTAATCTGCTAAAAAATAGGGAAAATGCAACTCGAAGATTAGGATTATGCGGCTTTGGATTATTGCCCATTTTGTTTAATTCTGTTCTAAAATTCTTTTGGGTTGTCAGTTGTCACACTATCCAAATGTGATTATGAACTACAAGAAACCGGACTATGTAATTACCAGGTAATTACAATTATGTATCATTTATGTATATTTTAATTTTATATTATAGAATTTTTTAGCACTTTGTGCCAGTGGTTATTATGATAATACAATAATTCACAGAAATATTAAAGGTTTTATGGCTCAAATGGGGGACCCTACAGGTACGTTCATGATTTAGATTTCTGTAATAAGATGCCTTTTAATAATCTGTATATTCTTTTGTAGAATGGGTGCTTGGATGGCCGAATGGTTAGCTTGTGCGCGCTGTATCATAAGACCTGTCATTGAGTCAACTGGCGTGGTTTCGAATCCTGGGTTGTACGTGACAAGGAGTAGGGTCGTCTGTCCAACCTCGTGGGTTTTCTTCGGAACCTCTGGTTTCCTCCCATTGATAAAGACCCCTACGCGCAAGCATATTATTGAAATAAAAATTAAACCATGTTAGTCCCAAAATGACCTAGTTTGTGTCAAGTGGACGTTAAACCCCATTTCTCTCTCTCTCTCTCTTTCTTGTAGAACCCATTGAATCTCATGAAAATTAAACATAGATTATGCTAGAGCTAAATCTGCCTATTGCAGGTCTTTGGTTCTGGAATGTTATATAAATAAACTATCAATTAGACTTTAATTAACATGTAAAGACCTTGATGCCACCTTATGTGTCAGATGATCACTGGATTTGAATCCGATTTGCTGCTCAACATTCATTGATGATTTAAACCAAAAAATGGATAATCGAGACTATGTTTTTTATCGTACTGACTTTAGTAATGATGATCGAAGCTAGGCCTAAAATTCAAACGCTAATATCTCGGTTCAGAGTGGAGCAATTTGGCTGTAATTTTCAGCATATTCCCTTTACATTATCTAGTTTTCACTATTATAGTGAGAACTGCCAGCTATTTATCTAATCTTATCTTCCATAAGGCCCCTTGTGAATGATTTACTTTTATTTACAGGAACGGGAAAAGGTGGTGCATCTATTTGGGGAGGAAAGTTTGAAGATGAATTTCGAGAGAGCCTTAAGGTAATATAATACAGGCCCTGAGTTTACAAAGCATACTCAACTTTCAATCACTGTTTATGAGAAATATCTTTGATCCAGAAACACAAGGATTTGCACATAGTTTCTTATTGATGTATTTGATACATTAAAACAGCAAACATTTTATAAAGGGATATATTTTAGTTAAAATAAGGCAAACAATTTAGAGTAAATTCTTAACTGAAGTCCAAGAATGTTTTGTGAACACAGGGACTGATGTAAAAAGCTGAGCACAACACACAATTGATTCAAATAAACAATAAATGAAAAACAAAGTTACGTACATGTAGCTGCTGGGGGTTTTCTTTACATCAACCTAAACAATATATACGCTAAGCCATCAAGAGACTGCATCAGACAGATCACATTGAAGAGCCCCTATATCATGTGACATTTAAAAGGGCTACTCTAAATCTGAGAAAGCTGATAAGTGGACTAAATTAAAGGGGTTATTTGTACAAAATTAACAGCCACGATTACAGTGACAGTGAAACGATTGTGTCTCGGACTGGATATTCACAGAAAAGAAATGAAACTATTTACAATTTATCTTTTTGTAGCATTCTACAAGAGGTATAGTTTCTATGGCTAACAATGGACCAGATACAAATGGATCTCAGTTTTTTATAACTTATGGTAAACAACCTCATCTTGATATGAAGTATACAGTGATAGGAAGGTATAAGTCTAGTTATTGTTAGATTTTAAATGATTTTAAAGGAGCTAAATCTCTATTCTTTGTAATGTAAATTAATGTATATAAACTGATTTACATTGAAGTTTTACAAATTTTATTGTAATTTCTAGTATGTTATGTTCAGCAAAAAACGTGAGCAATCCAAATTGAATGTTAGTCTTTTACGTGCACTGCAATGTGTTCACGGGACCTCGTTTTTTTTTTCCATCTAAACAACTAGACAGTTAGCCCCTCTGTCCTGTACCACTGACAAGGGGAAACCATGCCAGAAAATCTCATTGAACTTTCTCGGCCAACATCGGTAGCAAACCAGCAACCTTGGTTCCCACGTAGATCAAACTAATTATACTTTTCAATTGTAGGGTAATTGATGGCTTCGAAACATTGGATACCCTGGAGAAAATACCAGTGGAAGAAAAAAGTTATAGACCTCTTAATGTGGTATCTTTACATGGTGTAAAAATACATGCCAATCCATTAGCAGGATGAAATCAGTACATGATAAAAAAAAGAAAGATTATGGCAGCAGGATTTGGATGGAAATGGTGAAACTAACTTGGGTTGTTTTGCTATTTTTAGACGCCCACATTGCTTGTGGACACTCTAGAAGCTAAAGTTAATATCAAATTGACTTTAAATTTTTACACAGTGTTCAGAGTCATGGGACGGATGGGAATGGTGAAACTAACTTGGGTTGTTTTGCTATTTTAGACGCCCACATTGCTTGTGGACGCTCTAGAAGCTAAAGTTAATATCCAATCGACTTTAAATTTACACACAGTGTTCAGAGTCATGGGACGAAGAATCCTTTTGATTTTGAGTTATGACCATTTTTTAAGATATCTCCTAATTGCTTGTTACCAATGACACTGAGAAAATCCAACAGACTGAAAAAGAAACACCTATCCAGGCTGTATTTAAAGTTGTGTCACATATACACTGCTTCATTCCTATAATCTTGAATAACCAGATTATGATACCTTTAAAAACAAATATGAACAATGTTCTTGGTTGAATATCAGAACATAATTTGATGGTGTTCCTTGTTAAAAGATCTTATTGGTGCTAGTTGATTTCTTCATGACCGATGTCTTCGAATGTGTGTCTGCAGACTTACAGCAAGCTATTCATTCTTGAAGTAATTGTTAACTACATGTATCGTTATAATAACAGTGATGTTGTCATACAGTAATGTCATCTTTCATGGAAGAGTTCCCTCCCTTTTGTTCTTTATTGGAGTACTCAGGAGTTATCTCCCATATGTAGAAGTGGAATAAAGCATGGCCTATCTCGCATGTGGTTTTTATATTCAATACATTTTAATCCATGTCATCCATAGTGAACCAGAGAACTACCCCCACTGAGCAATGTGAATGGAGGTCAAAGATAAAAAATGATTTTGAGTGGCCAGGCATTTAATATTTTTTTCGACCACAAACAATAAAAAAGGAAAAGAATCAACGTTTTTCAATAAAATATTTTTTAATTCTTTTTGGTGTCATATTATTGAATTAAGTAGCAAGTGAGGTATTCGTGCAATGAAATATAAAGAAACCTAAAATAATGAAATTTGTTCCAGTATATCAGATCATCTGGGCCCTGTTTCTCGAAATCTTAACTAAAGATAAAATCTACTAAAATTTGGATTTTATCTTAGTTAAAATTTCATGAAACTGGCCCCAGCTCATTAAGAAAATCATTATTTACATGTATGAAAAGTCACAAAGTAATCTTGCCCACACAGCACTGCTGTAATCTGGAAATACCTAGTTAGTAAAGGCTTCTAATTTTCATCTAAAAAGCCAAAGTAAAATTTGGTTTATATTCAGTAGCTTAATCCTGAAACAAAACTGTTTTCCTTTGTTCTCTCAAATTTGCATTCAACAGACTTACCAGGTTTTTCCAGATTACGGGAGCAGCACTACAGTTTACTCTTATTTCTATTTCCAACTGTCAGAGATCTTTAACGTGCTGTCAATGGAATGCACAGGTTTACCATCCCAAATAACTAGACACATTTCCTTACTAGACACACTGTCCTGCATCACTGACAAAGGGAATCCTGATGGACTTTCTCGACCTACACCAAGATCAAATAAAATGAATTGGGGTTTAACAGCCTTCTGTTCTCCTCGGACTAGGCTAATGAAGACAGACATGCGCCATACAGTGTGCTATGAGGAATATTTGGCCCGGACAGTGGCGCTATGGCCTACTCTTATATCAAATTCCAACTGCCAGGGGAGCTTTTATGTGTACAGCAATGTGTACACCGGATCTCAGTTTTTTTCGACCTATCCAAACGCTTAGACAGGGGAAACCACGCCAGAAAAATCACTGAGAGAGAGAGAAATGGGGTTTAACGTCCACTCGACACAAACTGTGTCATTTCGAGACTAACATATGTCTTAATTTTATTTCAATAATTCGCTTGCGCGTAGGGGGTCTTTAGCAGTGGGAGGAAACCAGAGGACCTGGAGAAAATCCACGAGGATGGACCAATAAACACCAAATAGACATCTACTACTAGAACAAAATTTGCAGGGTTTTTTTTCTGCCCACATTAAAAATATTTGAACAATTTATACAAACAATAACAATTAAACAAGAGAAAGAACATTATAAACAGATAAAACTATTTACAAAATAACAAAAATGAACATCTTTAATAACAAACAATTGCATTGCTTTGAATAATTCATATATAAAATTACTGACCAAAGAGTCATGAAGTATGAAAAAAAAATTACAGACCCAATTTCCTAAAACATTAAACCTATCTTTCATTCTTTATACACTGTGATTAAAAATTGTCTGCTTTATCGGTAGACATAATGTGTAGGTCAAAGTCGAGCGTGAGGCATTAAAAAGCAATTGTTTAAAAAGAAACACCACAGCCAATCTTTCTTATTGAATCTTACAAACCTCGATATTCTATGGCTGAATCTATTTGTTAAAGCCAGCTCAATTTTTGTCAAGGTTGCTGAGATGTAAATAAGGTTAGGGCACGTGATTGTAGGCTAGGGTTTGGGTAAGCATTGTGGCCAGGGTTAGGGTTGGTTTAGCGGTAGCCCTGTTTACATCTTGTGACCTATGATAAAAAATCGAGTTGCCTTATCATTTAGCACTAACCATATTTCTATTTTAAAGTAGCAATTGTTTAAAAAACTCACCACATCCAATCTTTGTATGGAGTTAAAACAATATATTATGGACGTCTTCAAACTTATTTAAATGTTATGAACCTCCATCTTTCTCAAATGCAACATGTAAAAACTTTTGTTAACAGTAAGCAACTGGTCCTTATTCAAGAGTACTGAAAGTACCAGAGCTGAAACTGTTAGAATTTCTAAATTAAAATACATATTCAACAAAGATCAAAGAATGATTAATGACAATGGTTTACGTAGACTAATTGCAGCTTTTAAGTAATATACATGTATCGATGCTGCACTATAACATTAGCCGGAGTCTCAATATATTATGCAATATTTTTCTCAAGACCTTTAAATAACACAAAATAACAGATAACACTATCGCCCATCATCATGTGACCGTCATCTGCGGTAAATTATATACGATTGGCATATTGCTCATACCATTATTTGAAATAATGGTACGGCAACATTAAACATACATTATGCAAGAGCTAAATCTGCCTATTGCAGGTCTTTCTTTAGGCCTGAAATGTTATCTAAATTATTAACTAGACATTAATTAACTTGTCCAGACCATAATCAACTCTCAATGTCATCGCTAGCCTGCGATATTTACTGGATTAGGATCCGATTTGCTGTTCGACTTTCATTCATGATTAAACCATTAAATGGATAATCGAGACTATGTTTTTTATCGTACCGACTTTAGTAATGATGATCGATGCTAGGCCAAAAATCCAATCGCTAAATTCTCGATTCAGAGTGTATCAATTTGACTGAAATTTTCAGCAAATTCCCTTTACATTATCTAGTTTTTAACTATTATAGTGAGAACTGCCAGCTCTTTATCTAATCTCCCATAATGTATCTTTAAAGTATGACATCACATCTGAATTTTAAATAAAGTTACTTGAGACACACATGATAAAAAATGGCACAGTGAACACTTATCATAAAATGCATGGAAGCCAACGTAGAATATTTTATGTTATATTGCTTTTAAACTAAAATTGTTTATAATTTTAAAATATTAAATATACATGTATATGCCCTATTGCAATAATTGCAGTTAAATTTAACTACCCCTTCAACCAATCACTAAAGATTATGTATGGTTTAGTGGTCGAGACCGAGACATTAAGTAATATATTGATACTGCACGAGGCGTTAGACTACTGTTGTTTCAATATATTACACAATGTCTTTAGATTGAGACCATTAAACAACTTAAAATACAGACACTATCCCGCACTTGTTTTTCAATGAAATACATCACACGCGTCCAATATTTCATCTAGTATAGATAATGTACGCTTGGCATGTTGCCCGTACATTATTGGAAATAATGAGATGCCAACATCAAAGAATGACGTCACATCTGTATTTTAAATATACATAAGGCCAACCCAGTTAAATTCAACTACCCCTTCAACCGTTCACTAAAGATTATATCTACATAAGGCCAAACCAAATTATATTTTGGTTTTTCTGGATCAATAAATAATCCACTAAACTGTGTGCAATGTATTGTTAAAATTTTAACACTTAAATATTTTGCACCAAAGTCCTTTGTGAAGAGCAACTAAGTATGTTTTGTTTTTAAATTATTATTTTTTTTTTGTTCTGAAGAATTTGGCGGCAGAATATTTAATAGATATTCCCAAAGGATTAAAGGATTATCTAAAAGAAATTTTTGGTGTAGAAGTCAACAGGAAGAAAATATGTTGTGATGACTGTTCTATCATTGAAAGTTCTTCCATTTAATTTGGTAAAAGCAGATGCAGCATCAATATGTGACATAAAATAAACATAAACCTGAAAATATCAACAAACATCGTTCAATTTAAATATTACTAATAAATGTAGGCCTACAGCTGTAAAAATTATACAAAACTTGTCTACGATATCACCCTTGGTGGAAGTCCACATTCACCCCTACGAACCAGTGTATACAAAAAATATGGACTTATTATTTGGCTGGTTTGTAGTTTGCCCATCAGCTTAGAAATATTGGACATTAAACATGCATAATGTAAGAGCTAAATCTGCCTATTGCAGGTCTTTCTTTGGGCCTGAAACGTTACATAGACTATTAATTAGACATTCATTAATATGAAAAGACCATAAGCAGTGTCATCTTATGTATCGGATTTTTACTAGATTTGAATCCGATTTGCTGCTCAACTGATGATTTAATCCAAAAATGGATAATCAAGACTATGTTTTTTATCGTACAAACTTTAGTAATGATGATCGCAGCTAGGCCAAAATTTCAAACGCTAATATCTCGGTTTAAAGTGGAGCAATTTGGCTGAAATTTTCAGCATATTCCCTCTACATTTAGTTTTTAACTATTATAGGGAAAACTACCAGCTCTTTATCTAATATTGCAAAATGTATCTTTAGATGTACCTATACTTAATGCTCTGTCCAGGGACTGTGTAGGTATACACAGAGAATTCTAAAGGATTGGGCTGAAATCAAGCAAGGTGGAGGATGGCATTCCCAAACGGAACCTTCAGTTAACAACAAATGGGACAGTTTAAAGTCCTGAAGCACTATTGGCATTTTTTCTCTAATACCAAATTTCTCATGGCTTAATCCAAGCTAATATGTACTCAGATTAATTATTTAACATCTAGTTAAGGAAACAAAACTAATATACCAAAGGCCCATCAATAATTTTTTGCAGACAAAAAAATAGTGGGGGGCTTGGTGCATAGTGAGAAGCACAGGTCAATTAAATTTCAATTTCACATATCTTTGTAAATACTGAACGGAAATTAACCATTTCTGAACTGAGTTTCCTATCAGAGATTCATCTTTCACCGAATTGTAGTTTGCAAGTGATTCTATAGAGCTAAAATGGCACATCAGAACATTAATCTTATTGTATCTGTAATGAGTTTTACCTTATTAATGCCAGGTCCATCAGTAGGTATAATACAATCTTTTACTGGACCATATTTCTTACATTCTTCAACTATATCGTCTTTAATATCTATAATTAAATTACAGCCACCATAATTTACTGTCAACACTAGATATTTTTCTTTCTCAAACACCCATTAAACATACATTATGCAAGAGCTAAATCTGCCTATTGCAGGTATTTCTTTAGGTCTGAAATGTTATCTAAATTATTTATTAGACATTAATTAACTTATCCAGACAATAATCAATTCTTGATGCCATCATTAGCAAGTAATATACAGTGGATTTGAATACATTTTGTTATAGATAATTTAATGTAAAAATGGATAATTAAGACTTTGTTTATTGTCGTACCAACGTTAGTAATGTGAAGCAATTTGACTGAAATTTTCAGCATATTCTGTTTTCATTATCTTTTTCCAAAACTATTATATGGCAAGAACTGTGAGCTCTTTATCTAATCTTACCTAATGCCCCTTTAAGAAGTCATAATTTATTTTTAACTTCAAAGATAGATCTTGTTACCCAACACAAAATTCACTTCATATGTTAGTCTAATATCTGCCTGTATATCATTTTTATGTTCACATACTTTAAATAGCCCAAAAATTAAAATGGAGAGAGAGAAATGAGGTTTAGTGACTACAAAACACCAATCTGATTAAAACACAGATCCTATTTCGTTTCGTTTTTATAGTTCAAAATTTCGTTTTACCTGTCTTCACAACACTAGGATCTGGAAGAGTTGTTATATAACAGGCGTTCCAGTTGACTGGAGGAATTAGCAATTGAAATGGTCTGTTACGGCAAGTTCTTGACGTGCCCTGCATGGAACGGTGGGTTAACCCCTAGAAACGTCAACACTGATTGATTAATCAATGTCTGACTTTATAGGGTTTAAAAGCCGCGTGTATGACCCCTGAGGCGACCTCCCAGTACAACCTGTCAGATCTTCATGCAGTGTAGGCCATCGGAATGATAACAAAATGAAACACAAACTGGGTCTTTTCAGGACTAACATGGTACATGGAGAGAGAGAAATTGGGTTTAATGTCCACTCGACACAAACTAGGTCATTTCGGGACTAACATATGGTTCAATTTTATTTCAATAATTGGCTTGCGCGTAGGGATATTTATTGAAATGGAGAGAGCTGTATGGAGGTTCAATGGGCTACGAACGGGACTAATATGGTACAATTTTATTTCATAATTTACTTAGAAAACCCACTAGGTTAGGCAGGCGACCCTACACCTGAACAAAATATGGTATCGAAACCAGGTCATCTAAAGCATATGTGTTAAACGACACTTACCCCTCACCCGCTATGAATTAATATGGACAGCCATTTACTAAAAAACACACCTCTCACAGACATTGTCAAATACAGATTATCACACAACACATATATACAAGCCTGGACATAAAATACCTGTCACAGACTTTAAAAGACACAGGTGCCTTCCGTCAAGGTTTGCACTAACCTGACAATTCTGTTTCATTTTTTATTTCACAACCATCTAACATGTTTAATAGACGTAGGATACACGTTGGTAAAATCAACAAATCTAAAAAACCAGCATCTACAAAATATAACAAATATGTTGACGGGAAAATGGGGAAACATGGAATTAATATAAGAAATATTTGGAGGGAAATATTAGGTGGGAGGTGGGATTTATAAAATATTTTCGCTGGAAAATTATTAAAATTTTTGGGGAATATTTTTTGGGTAAAATATTATAAATATTTTTGGGTAAAATATTATAAATATTTTTGGGTAAAATATTATAAATATTTTTTGTGTAAAATATTAGAAATCTTTTTTGGGTAAAATATTAGAAATCTTTTTTGGGTAAAATATTAGAAATCTTTTTTGGGGGAAAATATTAAAAAAATTTTTGTCAACAAAATATAATATACTTTAGGGGAAAAAATATTATAAAAGCTTTGGCCGTCAAATCTTGCAAGTGAGAAATTTAATTATTGACAAACAAATATAGATAACTTGTTAACGACTTACTAAGTGATGTTAAAGTGTGTATCTGTTGTAAGACATCTGAACAAGTTGGTCGTCTGCTAATTTGACACTGAAGACACCTGTACAAAGTTAAAGATTAAAGTTAGGACACATGTATAGTATGGAAGGGTATCGCTGCCAATATTAAATGCTCTGCTAAAATATTAAAGTTAGGACACATGTATAATACATAGTAATTATTGTAATTATTAACTTTATTTTGCATCTGGAGTCACGGTGGCTAGGTGGGTAAGACGCTGGCTCGCTAGTCTGGAGATCGGGTGTTCGATTCCTACAGTGGCTGAGAAAGTTCATCAGGATTTTCCAACGTGGTGTGGTAACCCCTTGTCAGTGGTACGAAAGTTGTATGAAAGAAAGACCACACACAGACTTAGCAAATGAAATGAAATGAATTGGGGTTTAACCTCCTACTGTTCTGCTCCTATATAACCTGGGCTAATGAAGACGGGCATACGCCATACAGTGTGCTATGAGGGAAATTTTGCCCGGGCAGCGGTGCTACGGCATACTCTTATATCGAATTCCAACTGCCAAGGGATCTTTTACGTGCACACCAATGTGTACACGGGACCTTGGTTTTTCGTCCCATCCGAACGACTGGACAGCTCTCCTTGTCAGACCCTCCCTCCTGCTTCACTGAAAAAGGGAAACCACGCCGGAAAATCTGAATGGACTTTCTCGGCCAATGCAGGGATCGAACACCTGACCTCCAGGCTAGCGAGTCAGCGTCTTACCCACTTAGCCACGTGATCCCCCACACAGACTTAGCGGTAATATCACAAAAACATAACATAACAAAATTTGGTTGAGTGTGAGGCATAAAAACATTGATGTTAAGATTATACTTACTGTGTCACTATCTCTTTTAGTTTTTCAAGTAGATTATTTTGGTCATGCCATGTTGTTTGTTGAAATAATTTTTCAACAATTGCTGTATTTTCACATTTATTTTCGTCACCCTGTAGAAAACAGTGAAACTAAGTTAAACAATAGCACTGTATAAGAGAGAGACAGAAATGGGGATTAACATCCACTTAACGCAAACTAGCTCATTTCGAGACTAACATATGGTTCAGTCTTATTTTAATAATTCACGGACGCGTAGTGGTCTTTAGCAGTAGGAGGAAGCCGGAGGACCTGAAGAAAACCCACAAGGTTGAACAGGCAACCCTACTCCTTGTCACATACAAGTAGGGAATCGAAACCACACCAGTTGACTCAATGACAGACCTTACGATCTAACATGCACAATTTTACCCATCCAGCCACCCAACTCCCTGGCACTGTATACAAATACCAATAATAAACACAGACATTCTGTGTGCATCACTTTAAACATACATTATGCAAGAGCTAAATCTGTCTATTGTAGGTCTTTCTTTAGGCCTGAAATGTTATCTAAATTATTAATTTGACATTAATTAACCTATCCAGACCATAATCACTTCTAGATGGCAGCGCTAGCCCGCGATCTTTAGTGGATTATGAGCCGAATTACTGCATAACTTTCCTTCACGATTTAACAATTAAATGGATAATCGAGACTATGCTGTTTATCGTACTGACTTTAGTAATGATGATCAAGGCTAGGCGGAAATTTCAAACGCTTAGTTCTCGGTTCATAGTGGTGAGAACTGCCAACTCGTTATCGAATCTCCCATAATGTATCTTTAAATATACAGTGGTAAATCTAAGAGAAGTACAAATGACTTTAGCCCAACACCAGCACAATTCACAAGGAAATATCACATACTGGATATAGTTATACAAGTTGGGGTTTTTTTTCTTATGAACCTTTACATAAAATATCTTTGATAAAGATTCCTGAGAGTACGATTAGGTCTAATCAGTGTCTAAAAGTGTGTTTAATTATCCAGATTCGAGTCACAGTCACAAACAATTTTACCAATTTGATTTTAAAGAGAGAGAGAGAGAGACAGAGAGAGAGAGAGACAGAGAGAGTTTAATGTCCACTCAACGTAGAGCGTAGGGGTTTCTAGCAGTGGGAGGAAACCAGAGGATGCGGAAAGGCAACCCTACTCCTTGTTACATACAACCCGGGGATTTCAAAGAGAAGACGAACATGCTCATTTGTTGACTTCCAATTTGAATCCACAGATTTGTATTTGAAAATCAAACAGAACAGATAATGAATCTGGATTCGAATCATGACAATTAAAACTCTTTCAGTGGTTTTTACTCTTTGGCCATTTTTCATAATTTATAAGAATATATTAATACCATACCTGGCAGCCAGCACATAAACCTTGTATTTTACGATAGTCCGTTAGTTTATGTTCTGATACAAGATACAAGGCTAAAACACCCAGACTCCAGATATCAATAGCTGTACTTGGTACATTGCCTGGTTGATTGGGACAAACAACTTCTGGTGCTCGATAACTTGAACTTTGAACAAGCCCAATCTCCTAAAATATCAATAATGGTAAGTTCAGATATATTATGTATAAAGCTGTCAGGTAAATTTACCAGGCAGACATTTTCAGCATTGGCCTTAAATTGTCTGACAAAAATTTTTCAAATGAAAGCTCAATTGTTTTGAATAATTATCTAGTTTATCTTTACAACTGTAAAAGAAGTGAGTTGTATCCAGCATTTAAGAGGATTTTGCTAACAATCCAAGGATCCAATTCGGCAGATCAGGTCTTTTAATTCAACGAAAATAATCCAAAATATCTATTAAACTTTCTACCTAATTTCGTTTATAGAGTCCTCAAAATTAAAGAACAAAATTCCAAAATAACTTACTATTAAACTTTCTAGCTATTTTCATTTATAGAGTTATCAAAATTAATGAACAAAATTCTAAAATAACTTACTTTATCGAGTATATTGAATGAAAGACCAAAATCAATCAATTTAAAAGTGCCAGACTTAGGACTCCATTGTATATTATCAGGTTTCAAATCAGCGTGAACAAAACCACATAAATGGAGAGCAGACAACCCTCTGGAAACATAATTATACATGTAAATACATTTTAAAATATTGGATTGAAAAACTTGCTGAAATGCTAACAGATATCAACAGATAGATGTTTATTGCATCAAAACGTCCATTAAGGACACCATTTATACAAGTAAATGTACATTATCGTCACGTTTCTGGCGAACCGACGAACCGACGAATCTGATATATTTAAGTATTGAGAATTATGCATTTGAAATTTGCATTCTGGTGTTATCTCTGTAGCCATCAATAATAACATTTATGTAAATGGTGTTCGGTGTCCTGATGTACATGTATGAAATATTAAATCATAAATAAATGTTAATATTTGATGTCCATAGATATAACAACAGAACACAAATTTCAAACACATAATTCTAAATACTTAAATATATCAGATTCGTCGGTTCGACAAATTTAAACAGAATTAATCACATAGATTACACAGAAAACATGTACGTGTACATACAAGTAATACATTGATAGGGGACATGTTGATGATACAAACACAATAATACATTTCAAGAAATTCATATAATACTAATATGTGCATGTATATTTCATTAGTTTCATAGTTTAAACTTATTTTATTGCATCGACATTTCAATGTACCATACAAAAAGATTAAACAAAAATTCTCCGTTCATGAAGACACAAGTGTGCTCATACCTTGAATTCTTATATGTGGCAGTGTCAGAAGTTATGAATATATACAGAAACATAAAGGACGTAGCTAGCTCTTACTCATTATACTATACCAACATTCACACAAAGTTGTATATTGTCGTCGCCACTTTCCAACACTATGTGTACATGGGACATCAGTATTTAATACTATCCAAACAGTTAGATGCATTTCCGTTTCAGATGGGAGCCATGGTGGCTCAGCGGGTATGACGTTGGCTCGCTAAACTTGAGGTCGCATGTTCGATACCTGTATTGGTCGAGAAAGTTCAGGCCAGAAGGCCTGGCAAGGAACAACGTATAATTGTTTGTCAGATGGGACAGAAAACCAAGGTAAGGTGTAAACATTGGAGTTTAAGTTGAGTGGACGTTAAACCACATTTCTCTTTCTCTCTTTAATAAATTTTATTCTAACTGATAAATTTCCCTTACCTGGCTACATCGTTTATTATTTTGTGAATGATAAACAGAGAAGGATGACTCTGTTGTTTAGCTGTATATATAATCACTGATAAACTTGGCTGTAAATATTCATCAATAAGCACCTGTTGGTTACCATAACAACAACTTTCTAACATTCTAACTGAAATTCATATAACGGTTGTAATAATGAAAGTAAAACTTGTATCATTTCAACAACTAGCAGCCTACCTTTCTGCATCAATACACCTAAAGAAGACGGGTGTTGTGCTATGAGAGAAATTTTACCCAGATAATGGCCCTACGATCTATTCTTATTTCAAATTCAAAATGTCATGAGTTCTTTTACATGCTCGCCAACATGTCACGAGACCCTGGTATCTCATACCAAACTGATATAATTTTGAAAAGAATGTCTTATGTCACATTCTAGCAAACACAATATTCGCTTTCCTTTAAAAGGCTAGCACATGTAAATAATGACTACCTGAAAAAATTAAAGAAAAGTTATGTTTTAGCTCATTTTCGAAACCGTCCAAAATTACTGCTCCCAAGAGAGCCTCAAACCATTCAAGTCACAGAGCTTATAGGCACTTTTGGGGGGTTGGATGGCCGAATGGTTAGCACGTGTGTGCTGTATCATAAGGCCTGTCATTGAGTACACTGGCATGGTTTTGAATCCCCGGTTGTACGTGACAAGGAGTAGGGTCGCCTGTCCAACCTCGTGGGTTTTCTCCGAGTCCTCCGGTTTCCTCCTACTGCTAAAGACCCCTATGCGCAAGCGAATTATTGAAATAAAATTAAACCATATGTTAGTCCCGAAATGACCTAGTTTGTGTCGAGTGGATGTTAAACCCCATTTCTCTCTCTCTCTCTTATAGGCACTTTTATCGACGACTGATTAGATATAGTGATTTGCATTTAATCAGATTGCGAATTTATCGATACCAATTTCTGAAGCAATTACCCCAAATCACCAACTGACCTCAATTTGATCGGGTGATCACATGTTTTTTTTCATCTATGTCCCACCACAAGAACTGTTACAGCTAATCAGCACATTTAACGAACACGGCAAAGTACTTTGAAATCGACTATACTGTCACATGACATCGCCACTAAATTCAAATCGATTTGGCAAGTCGATAAAAACACCTAATATTTGGTCCTTCAATAGTCCACAAGTGTCACAGCTGATTTGAGAAACAAGAGCGAGCAGCAGTTTTGGGCAGGTTCAGGAAGTCCAAGAGATCAAGGAATAAGCTGATACCTACCAAGTTGAGTCACTTCTCCACATTTTTCATGAACTATCTTCAATAAGAGAAATTCTCTTTGATGGGCACAATTAAACTTTAGACCTTCATTATAAACTTTTATAGCTACCTGGAAAAGACAAAATATTATCTGTATGTTTTGTATGCATTCTGAAATTGGCATTGAGATAGCAAACCCTTTTCTTATCATATCTAGTTAGCCTGATAATGTTGTTTGCTTGATAATGTTGAGAGAGAGAGAGAGAGAGAGAGAGAGAGAGAGAGAGAGGCTTTAACATCCATTCGACACAAACTAGGTCATTTCCGGACTAACACGTGGTTCAATTTTATTTCAATAATTCACTTGTGCATAGGGGTCTTTAGCAGTGGGAGGAAACCGGAGGACCCGGAGAAAACCTGCGAGGTTGAACAGGCTGCCATACTCCTTGTCACGTACAACCGGGGAATCGAAACCACACAAGTTGACTCAATGACAGACCTTATGATACAGCGCGCACACGCTAACCATTCAGCCATCCAACCCCTTTGATAACGTTGAGAGAACACTCTTCGAAGAGTCGCCTTAAATACATCAGTAGATGTTTTCCATAAGTATGTGTTTGGTTTTTTTTACTTTATTCCGTTGCTAAATGCAGATTAATATCTAGAGATGAATGAATGAAATGGGGTTTAACGGTCTACTGTTCTGCTCTGACTGGGCTAATGAAGACGGGCATACACCATACAGTGTGCTATGAGGGATATTTTGCCTGGGCAGCGGCACTATGGCCTACTCTTATATCGAATTCCAACTGCCAAGGGATCTTTTATGTGCATGCCAATGTATATACACGAGACCTCGGTTTTTTGTCCCATCCAAACGACTAGACAATTATATTATCCAACGAAAAGCTTCATTTGTTCCATAGGATTTTAATGGTGTTCTTACTTTTGCCTTAATGAAAAATCTCACTAAGAAAGTAAAATTTCCATAGGAACTTTGTACTGTCAAGAGCTGTAGGTAGAGTGTTCACAAGAAATTTTGTACAGAATATAGACATTGTGTCACATGATGAATCTGTGGATAAAAACAACTAATAATCTGTTACCTGTGATTTAGAAACCACATCCAGTCCTTCATATACCTGACAACATCTTCCAGATCCAATTTTTTTAATGATTTTCCATGTCCCACCATGCTGGTTACCTATCAAAGAACCTTCTTCAAGCATTCATGAATGGAATGGCTAAAAAATACAGATTGTCATTTTATAGCATGATTTTCCAGATTTGATGACAGGGGCAACAAATAAACAAAAAAAATCATAATGGTAGGTATAATACACAACTTTTGATGCAGATTATTTATACATATTGTTGTTGTATGATATTATAGTCTATAGAGGTGGCACTGGTTGACTCACAACTAAACTAGAATGTTCCAGGTTCAAAAACTGACGTCGGGTGAGAAGCTTAATCAGAATTTTTAAAACCCTGTTCCCTTTTTATCACGGGCAGGGTCTGCAGGGCTTACATTAAGGAAAGTAGCCTAGTATTGCCTATTTGTTTGGCTGGGACTTCAATACTTCAATATTGAGGCCACAGCTAAATGTGAACACTGGGTAAAGTGACAGCTACATTTTTTTAAAGAGTAAGCGGAAATGCTGCCATCCAAGCAAAATTATGATTGTCTTGGCTTTATTCTGTTCGTGTTGGCCTAAGATAAAATTAAATATGGTTTAGAAAAGATGGCTTAATGTCAATGAGAGCAATCTTTTGGGATATAATTATAATAATAGCGCTATTAAACGATCACTAATTCATTATGGCATTCATAAGCATTCCGCAATTTAACATCAGTTTTAGCCTGAACTTTAGCTCCTTGAATATATTCAAACATTTTATTAAACAAAACTAACAGAATTATACTGTTAATAGTTTCTACAAGTAGTTGGATTGTCCTGATGTACGAGAGTACAAACTCTGCAGCCAGTTATCTTTCCAGGGTACCCGGACCACTCGGACCAAAGACCACTCGGACCAAGACCAGTCGGACCAAAATGGAGACCACTCGGACCAAAACGGAGACCACTCGGACCAACCCAAAAGACCACTCGGACCAATCAATTTATGTTGGAAGACCACTCGGAACAATATTTATGTTGCCGCTCGGACCAATCAATTTATGTTGGAAGACCAACCGGACCAATATTTTTGTTGCCTATCGGACCAATCAATTCATAATGGAAGACCACTCGGACCAATACTTGCCTCTCGGACCAATCAATTTATGTTTGAAGACCACTCGGACCAATATTTATGTTGCCTCTCGGGCCAACCGAAAGGATCGCTTCTCGATCCAATTATTCACTTAAATAAAATACAGATTTTAAATTAAATAAATATTATTTATTAAAAAATAACAATACAAAGAAGCGAATAATTTATAGGTGAATCTATACATAAATTTAGAAATGTCCCCCTTCCTTACATATTTATTACATCAACAATTTATAAAATATTTATTACATCAACAATTTATTAAAAAAATTTTTTTTTTTTTTTAGTTTTTGATATGCCTGTGACATGTCTAGTGACCTATTCGCTGGGACCGTAAATTAAACCACATTTCTTTAATAGTTGGCTTGTGCTGATTGCTTCTTCATTGTATAGTTTCCAAATCGCAAAAAGTTTTCCCTGTATTGAACGGGTCTGTTTTTTTTGGGGTGTCTTTTTAATTTTCCTTCGGATATCATTTTCATCTGTTGGGGCAGTTGGCTGGCTTTTTTGTTAGTAGGCTTGTCAACAAATAAAATTGTAGATTTCATTTTTTAGTTTCCTGGTTGACGACATCGTTGTTGTCCTGACGAAATTGGCCACACAGTATTTTCTATCTAATTTGTTCGTTGTCGACCTTTTCCTCCAGTTTTGTAAAAGCCGGCAAAATATGCTCCGATGACAAAAATGGCAAGGTAAGGAACTTTCTGAAGAACTTATAAATTTACTAATGTGACACAGTACAGCCTCGCGCCTTGGTCGAACTAAAGTATCGTAAACAATACACATATCGGACATTTTGACAAATGATAATGAAATATACATTCTACATGTTTATATACAATTTAAACTCTTGGACATTACTCCAATCACACCAATTAAAAATGAATCAATTTTCTTTCATGTGCTTCATCTACTTTATTACCTTGTAACATGGATGAGTACATTATCAACACATACTAATGTATTAATCACTACTCATTTATCGTTGTTTTGTTAATTAATCCTCTTTGATGTGTTTCATTATGATCAAATACCACGTATAAGTACATAACACTTATAATTTTCATATTAAAACAAACACAATTTTTTAGCGATCCGAGTAGTCATATTAAAACAAACACAATTTATTAAAACAACAATTTATTAGCGATCCGAGTAGTCATATTAAAACAAACACAATTTATTAAAACAATAATTTATTAGCGATCCGAGTATATAGTCATATTAAAACAAACACAATTTATTAAAACAAAACTTTATTATTGGTCCGAGTGGTCTTTTTGTTTGGTCCGAGTAGTCTTTTTGTATGGTCCGAGTAGTCTTTTAGTTTGGTCCGAGTGGTCTATCAATTGGTCCGAGTAGTCTTGGTACGAGTGGTCTTTGGTCCGAGTGGTCATGCATTCCTTTCCAGATGGCGCTACGCTTTGGTAATCGATTTATTCGGAAGGAACTCTAAATATGACGTCAATGTAAATAATACTATTTCTATTAATAGCATCTCTTTATCTTTGAATTCACTAATGCGCAATACAATATAACATTTACAATGATCTTAACAAATTAAACATTATAAAGCGGAAGTGATGGCAATTTCTTTAAAAACAAAAAGAGACATGACAATCCATAGCTAATCGGGAATTGATTTTGAAAGAGCTGGGTATTCGAGCACTATAAGCAGCATGGCGGACCTGAATGGTTTGCTTTCGCTGTTCTCCTTATTCTTGGTAAATATATAGTTATAATATTATAACATTGGTTCAATATTGTGGTTTTAAGAACTAACCAATGCGTGTTTGGTAGCTCTGTTATAATTTATGTCGATTATGGTTTAGAATTTTTTTATTTGGCAAGATAGAAAAACTTTTCGTCGGTTTGTTGTCATTTTGACACGAGCTTGATTTTGATTGGTCAAGGTCCGAAATTTTAATTGTATAATATTATATACATGCACATAATGATGTTGAGATTTGATTAATCTCATCCAGTAATATTTACGAAGCAAAAGCTCTTACTCAGTATTATCCGTAATATTCGAAATTAAAAACACGAATTAGAATATATTGTTAATTGATTACATTATATCATATTCATTTCGGTCTCACGTCATTTCGGACTTACGACATTTCGAACTCCAAAAAATATGGCCTCAACGTTTCAGACTCAGGCAGGAGACATTTCGGACTAGTGTAGGTGACGTTTCGGACTTGGGAATAAGTTGAAAGGAAAGGTTGAACACAACTGTCAAATCATAGATAGCAGTACCAATCGATAAATTGGTGCGTGCACAAAGAAAACTCATTTTGGAAAATATTAGAAATGGCAACAATCAAAGTGGGATAATTAAAGCTGATTAACCGATAATCCCTATGTTATTGTAGTATGTGCAAAGAAACCTTACAACAGTTCTTTAGTGGACAAGGAAAAATGTGAGTTGTCAATCGGTGATAATTGCGGCTGCGTGTTGATTCGATTATTCCGACTCACGTAAAAGACATTTAGGCTTTCAGAATTATACAAACATTAGCAGTATGTATTACTAAATATACACAAATTTTCAACAATATTTTATTGTCAAGTTCAATACTTGCCGATGAATGAAACAAAACAAAATAGAACAAGCATTGCAAAATCAGTGTTATCTTTTTATTAGCGGTCACAAGAATTGCCGATCAATTAAATAAAACAAAACGACTATCGGACTCAACATAAAACGAAAAGAAAAAACCCCAGCTATAACAAATATATCACACAAATTTTCAACAGTCTTTTAATTATTCATCTGAGTCCGCAACATAGCCAGACCGAATCCGAAAAGTCGTCAAGTAAGTCCGAAAGGTCGTCGATGTTGAGTCAGAAATGACGCGGGACCGAAATGACTTGCTACCTTGTTAATTAAGCCAAACATGTCATATGCACATTTACATTTAATTTCTTGTGTCCATTGAATTGACTCAATAACTGGATATATAATAGTGCCATTTGATAACAGTTGATTAAATAGACATTATGGGAGATCTTTACACTTGCCTATAGCCTAGATTAACAGGCATTTTGCTTGCTTCAAATGTTATATAAATTATTATTTATGCACATGATCAGCTTTCATGTAGTTGTGGAGGTACTCGGACCAAAGACCACTCAGACCAAGACCAGTCAGACCAAAAAAAAAGACCAGTGGTCATGGAACCAGTTGTGGAGTGCATTAGACAATGCCTGCCGTATTACATTTGTATCTGCATTACTAGTAAATTAGACGCTAATATAGCCATAGACTGCCAATAAGGACTGACAAGCAAGACTTGGTTTATTATCACAGGAATGGTAATGTACTTGACAATCAAGCATATGAACTGTGGGCAGAGTTTCCACCTGCCAATTGTGGGTAATAAATTATTATTTTTTGGCTAATGTAAGCTTATGACCTTGATTAAAGCCAGTTCTTGTGGATTTATTCCAGGTGTATGTAGGAGAGGCAGTTGGGGGTACTAACAGTTTATTTACCGTAGAAGATTGTCGTGCATTAGGATTCGCTCCATCGCTATCCTGTGCTTCTTGCGATGAGTTAGATAAATTTAAACTTGGCGCTATAAAAGATGACTGTCAACAATGTTGTCAGAGTGATGAGACTCAAGATCCTTTACAAGTAAGTTGCATTAGGATTGAATACAGGGATGATAAATGACTAGTTTGCTATAATTTGTTTAAACTTTAGTACTGTGAGGTAGCTGATCACATCCAATCCATATCCATCAGAACTTAGTGAGTCCCATGTGTTAGCTATTCATATATCAAATAAAACCCTAACCACTTTCGGGAGCCACAGTGACTAAGTGGGTAAGTTGCTGGCTAACTAGCCTGGAGGTCGAGTGTTCAATCCCTGCATTGGCCGAGAAATTTCATCCAAATTTTCCGGCGTGATTCCCCGTTTCCAGTGGTGCAGGACAGCTGGCTAGACATTTTGATGGGATGAAAAACCAAGGTCCCGTGTATACATTGGTGTGCACGTAAAAAATCCCTTAGAATTTGATATAAGAATAGGCTATAGTGCCGCTGCCCAAGCAAAATTTCCCTCATAGCACACTCTATGGCTTATGCCCGTCTTCATTAGCACAGTTTAGGAGCAGGACGCTGAACTCCATTTAATTTCCTAACATCTTTCTATGAAAGAATATAATATTATTGACAGTTTTTTTCTGTTTCAAAACATGAATGAACAGGTGTATAATATAACTGACACATATACAGATTATAGAATTATTATTTTCTATTCCAGTTACTGCCTTATGCAGAACTAATTGTATGTAGCTGAAAATTGGGAAGGTTTCCACAGGTTCAAGGTAAACAACATTTTTAAAATCTCATTTAAATCGTCAAGCAACATGGGTGAATGAGACAGTATTACATCAAAACTGTCCAGCGGGGGTGGATGACCGAATGGTTAGAATCTGCCAGGTTTGTCATTGAGTCAACTGGCGTGGTTTTGATTCCCCGGTTGTATGTGCCAAGGAGTAGGGTTGCTTGTTCAACCTTGTGGGTTTTCTCCAGATCCTCCGGTTTCCTCCCACGGCTAAAGACCCCTACGCGCAAGCGGATTATTGAAATAAAGTTGAACCATGTGTTAGTCCCGAAATGTCCTAGTTTGTGTTGAGTGGATTTAAGCTCTCTCTCATCAAAACTGTTCAGCTTAAAAGACAGACCCTATTTCGGTTTGTTGATTGGTAAATCGAATGACTGACACCATTGGCTCAAAAGCTGCTCATATGACCCCTCACTCGACCTCCCACTACATGTACATAAAGTGTAACAACCAAAAAACATTTTGTCACAGGATTCGAAAACATATAAATTATAATACCGTGTGTAAAAATAAAAACCTGCTTAGCCATCAGAATGTTTATAATATTGTTAAAAAGTATTCATTACACAAGCTGCAGTTTTGTTCTAATATTCTTTATTAGAATAATTCTAACATTTATATAGTGCAAAATTTCAAACTTAAATCAGCTCTGTGCATGGTATTAAATCAGTCTATTACTGGTACTCTGTAAAAATAATCCTTTAGTGGCATTTAGCGATTGGAAACATAACAGAACTAACATGTCAATGGGACAATAATCACTAGTTTATTATACTCAAGCACGACGTTTCAAAAAGTATTCTCTTATCGTTACCAAGCACAATAATAACGATAAGAGAATACTTAGGAAAATCTGATGAGGGAGGGATTTAGGTTTTTAATTTTGGGTTTGGCCTCAGATTTTCTTTATTTGAATTAAATTAAATGTTTGGTTTTGTTTCAGCTTTCGTGAAGAGTGATCGTCCAAATCAGTTTCCAGGATTAAAAATAAAATATGTCCGAGGTGCTGATCCCATTATTAAATTAATGGATGAAAATTATCAAGTCAAGGAGACACTCGGAATTGAAAAGTGGAACACAGACTCTGTGGAGGCCTTCTTCCATGAACGACTACGAAAATAATTTAAGTTCTGATTGAAAGATCAGATGAAGAATGCTGAGATATTGCTGAAAATCTCATGATGAAGAGAGATTAAAAGTTATTTTCATAATTTTATCACGCTCATCTACGATTTTTTCTGATGAAATTCTCTATGATTGTTTTACTGTAAACCGTAAAAGGGCATGTAAGACTTGATGTTTGTGAATTGCTTCAGACTGCTCTACCAGTTTTTTTCTCAAAATTATGTATATGGTGCAGGAAAATTCATTTGAAGTTAAATCATATTCGAAAATTTTATAAAACTATTTATTGTCATATGTATGTATTTCATTTAATGTAGAAAATACTTAAAGATACATTATGGGAGATTAGATAAAGAGCTGGCAGTTCTCACTATAATAGTTAAAAACTAGATAATGTAAGGCAATTGCTGAAAATTTCAGTCAAATTGATATACTCTGAACCGAGAATAAAGCGATTGAAATTTCAACCTAGCCTCGATCATATTACTAAAGTAGGTACGATAAAAAAACATAGTCTCGATTATCCATTTCATGATTAAAACGTATCAAAGATAAGCAGCAAATCGGATCCTAATCCAATAAAGATCGCAGGCTAGAGTTGACATCGAGAGTTGATTATGGTCTGGATAATGTCTAATTAATAATTTAGATAACATTTCAAGCCTAAAGAAAGACCTGTAATAGGCAGATTTAGCTCTTGCATAATGTATGTTTAAAATGACTAGAAATGTTTGATTTCAATCATGAATAAAATTGTTGATTTCATTGTTTTTCACATAATAAACACAAAAAACATAATATTGGGGTGTATAGGCCATAAGATGGCCTGGATTGTTTATGACAATGAGAAGAGCTAATTAAAAACAGCCATCTTCCATTTCACTCCATCTCAGAATTACATCTAGGATCAAAGCCTTTTATTAATCAAGGGAAGTAACTCAATTAACACAAAGAATTCAAGAAGGCTTCAGACCACTATTCCTTAATAATATGAATAAGTTGGTTTAGTAAAGGAGTATATGACAATATGGAACACAATGACTATTTTAATTAAAGCAAAATTTTGTTGGGGGTTCTCTCAGCGTTTTCAAACAAATGATGATTTCATGTGTATTTCACATGTTGATTTGTTTTGTGGGTCGGCAGCCTGGCTTCATTGAAAGTTTCTGTCTATTGAAAAAAAACAGTTTTCAAAATTTTACATCGATGTAGATAAAGCTCAGGTTGAGTTCTTTCCCCTGTTGATAAAGGGTTGTACGTTACAAGGAGTAGGGTCGCATGTCCAATATCGTGGGTTTCCTCCCACTGCTAAAGACCCTTGCGCGCAAGCGAATTATTGAAATAAAATTGATCCTTATGTTAGTCCTGATATGACCTAGTTTGTGTCGAGTGGACGTTAAACCCGATTTCTCCCTCTCTCTCTGATTGCAATGTCTGTGTAGTTTGTTTGTCTTGTCTGCAGGTCTGTCTTCTGGGTTTTATTTGTGTGTGGTGCGGCCCTTCTTCCTCTTAATATTAAAAAGGTTCTTCTCGGATCAATGTTTACTTGAAATGCATTTATTAGCATCACAAAGAACAACAGAAATAATTACTTGAACTTGAAGACAAGGAAAGTCTTAGTCATTTTGAAGGGACCAAATACCGGGCTCCTTCCAGTTATACATTGACGGCGCCAAGCCCTTAAATCTGGTCTGCCCTCTGTATGCCCCCTCCCCAATAAATTTAAAAAATGAAATAAATTTTTTGTTATATGTTTCGGTATAGGTTCAACGTGGCGAGAATATTCATTCTCTTTGATTCACTCACTCTGTTCGTTTGACACCTCCCTTTCTGGTCGATAAACTAGTTAATTGACGACAAACCGCATTTCCGGCAGTCTATTTCTCAAAATTTCGTGGCGAGAACATTCATTCACTTTTATTCACTCACTCTGTTTGACACTTTCCTCTCAGGTCGGATAAACTAGTAACCAGGCGACAGGAGGTATCTGGTCAGCTCTATTTGAAATAAATATTACCGTATTTGAGCGAGGCTAGTGGCCAAACAGTAGATAACAAACCTCATCTCTGTGTTTCGAGATAAGAGATGGTGCTATATAGTCCCACGTTGCAAAGCCCAACGCAAATCACATATCGGACCTCAGTAAGCAAAACTGACAATATTTTTCATCAAAACAACGATTGATTATTGTTATTTATAATATTTCTGCCACATCCAACTACAATTAAGCATTTATCACCCAATAATACATTCTACAGTAGATATCGCTTGTGTGATATATTTCATAATCTACTGCGATATCGCTTTACATGAATTTGATTGGTCAGTTGAAAAGGAACTACTTTTTTTATTTTCACAGAACAGTTCATTTCTTATAAAAAGTAACTTTTTAAAAATTAAAAATGAACTATTGTTATTCAATTGACCTTGATGGAAACACTGGGTCAATATAAAGGACTTTGCAATGGTTGAATTGCTGTCAAAAAGTGATGTATCACTACGCCGTAATGTTCAGTAAAAGTGAAATTTACAGCAAATAATTATATTTATCTATTTGTGCGTGTAAGAAGGGATTGGGTGATAAATAAAATCTCCTACTCGTCTTTTTTGATATCAAAAAATATCAACACTCGTCTTTTGTTACTTTATCAACTTGTGTTGATATTTTTTGATATCAAAAAAGACTGGTAGGAGATTCTCTATATAATCCTACCTGAAACAGGTATAAATCATCGTATTTAAAATCGAGGCGTTAAGACGTTACTAGGAACACCATTTTTAAACGGGAGATGTATGGCGGTGTATGTCGGATAAAAACAACTTGATTAATCTAAACGCGAATATTTGGAGATAGGCGATAGTTGTGCCACTAGATTGGCCTCTGTAAGTTTAATTGGTCATAATTGTATGAAATTATCTTATTATTAAGATGTTACATGGATTAATAAAGAAATTGAGTTTGCCACTGGAGCTAAAGGCACCCAATAGTAGCTAAAAACAAGCACATCAACGTTTTTAGCCAAGTTCTCGTAGCTAGCCAAACAGCACCCGAACATCTAAACACTTTATTCCACCATTTTATGACACTATTTATTCAATAAATATTTACACAGTACAAAGATGTAACATTTAATTATTACCTCTAGTAACAAGCTGGAGCTTACATAAACTTAAAACACATTTATTTAATCAGGCTTTTAACTGAACCTGTATACAATCGTCCATAATCTTGTTGTTTATTTATGATTATATTGTCACTTTGTAAAGTACTATAAATATGTTGTAATAATAATAATCAATAATAATAATAAACCCATTTCCCGTGCGTAAGAAATTATTTACAAAAATATATTTACATTAAAACCATATTATTATGTAAAGGTTTTTAAAAATTACAAAGTATAGCCTATCCCATGTTGTGTTGAATTAATCATCGATTATACAAGAGCTAAAACTGGTAGCTTAAGGGTGTGGCTAACTGGGGCAACAATACCTAGCACTATATAACCGAAAATCGTTATTGTTTCTTAGATTATTCTGAATTTATGACAAATAATTTTTTCTTTTACCTTCACGTTTAACGATAATTATTGTAATTTCACAAAAAAACATCTAAAATTAAAAGACGACAGATAGGTTGTAATTATATGTTTACATAGGGATGGGTGGGGTGTGTGTCTAGTATCATTGAATCAAGTGACGTGGTTTCGATTCCCCGTTGGTACGTGACAGTGGGGTTTAACGGCAACACGACACACACTATGTCATTTTAGGACTAACATATATTTAATTTCAATAATTCGCTTTCGCCTAAGGGTCTTTAGCAGTGGGAGGAAAATGGAGGACCCTGAGAAATTCCAGGAGGTGGTACAGGCGACCCTATTTCTTGTCACGTAGGCTACAAGCGGGAAATCAAAACAACAAGCACACCTTAAACCATTCGGCCACCCAACCCCCTTTGTTGTGGATATAGAAGATGGAGAGAGTTTAATGTATAAAACCGAATAAGAAAGTATTGCGAAGTTGGTAAACGTCGTTGGATATTGGTTAATAGTTCACAGCTGAACACAATAAGTATTATTTATTAAAGATACATTCTGGTGGATTCGATAACGAGTTGGCAGTTCTCACTATAATAGTTTAAAACTAGATAACGTAAAGGCAATTTGTTGAAAATTTCATTCAAATTGATCCGCTATGAACCCAGAACTAAGCGAATGAAATTTCTGCCTAACCTCGGTCATCATTACTAAAGTCTGTACAATAAACAGCATAGTCTCGATTATCCATTTAATCGTTAAATCGAGAAGGAATCCACTTAAGATCGCAGGCTAGCGATGCCATCTAGAGTTGATTATGGTCTGGATAAGTTAATTAATGTCTAATTAATAATTTAGATAACATTTCAGGCCTAAAGAAAGACCTGCAATAGACAGATTTAGCTCTTGCATAATGTATGTTTAAGTAAATACAGCAGGATACGATAGATAAGTATAACCACTAGGTCACGATGTGTATTACTGGTAACGATAGATAAGTATAACCACTAGGTCACGATGTGTATTACTGGTAACGATAGATAAGTATAACCACTAGGTCACGATGTGTATTACTGGTAACGATAGATAAGTAAAACCACGAAGGCACAATACGTATCACAAGTCATGCTAAGTATCACAAGTCACGATAGATAAGTAAAACCATTAGGATACGATAAGCATCACAGGTCACGATACACAGGGGCGCCGGAACGGTGCGAGGGCTAGGGTACCAAAATATGGGGCTGGGTTGTCCGAGAACGCTTTTTGGGGCGCCTCTAGCATTCCTAATTCCAACATAGACATCTGGCCAAGGCATGCACTGATAGCTGATAATGAGAGTGCGAGAGCCGGTGCGTGAGCGACCAGAGAGCAATTACATATCTATCATTTAAAAATGAATAGACTAGTAAAAATGTTGAAAACTTACATCATTAGGGCATGGGTATACATGTATACCCCATGAACAGGCAGGGTATCATTTGTATACCCTGGTACCCGGGTTCCGGCGCCCCTGACGATACGATAGATAAGTAAACTCTATAAGGATACGATAAGTATCACACGCCACGATACGATAGATAAGTAAACTCTATAAGGATACGATAAGTATCACACGCCACGATACGATAGATAAGTAAAAACCATTAGGATACGATAAGTATCAGATTTCACGATACGATAGATAAGTAAGGCCATTAGGATATATATCAGATGTCACGATAAGTAAAAACCATTAGAATACGATAAGTATCACATGTCACGATACGATAGATAAGTAAAACCATTAGAGCACGGTAAGTATCACATGTCACGATACGTTAGATAAGTAAAACCATTAGAATACGGTAAGTATCACAAGTCACGATAGATAAGTAAAATCATTAGGATACGATAGGTAAGTATAAACATGAGGATACGATAAGTTTCACATGTCACGATAGGATAGATAAGTAAAACCATTAGAGCACGGTAAGTATCACATGTCACGATACGATAGATAAGTAAAACCATTACAATACGGTAAGTATCACAAGTCACGATAGATAAGTAAAATCATTAGGATACGATAGGTAAGTATAAACATGAGGATACGATAAGTATCACATGTCACGATACCATAGATAAGTAAAACCATTAGAGCACTATGAGAATCAGAAGTAACGATATATACATAAGTAAAACCATTAGGGTACGATAAGTATCACCAGTCACGATAGATAAGTA